TCCCCCTCTCACTCTCTCTCTCTCTCAAACACACACACATTTTAAAGCTATACGTTTTTGTATGAAGGGCAATTAGCCCAAAAAATAAAATTCTATTAAATAATATGATTCCATTCTCTCTCCCATCCTACTCTCTCTTAATCTGTCTGCCTATCATTTTGATAATGACTTTGAAAAGAGTGCAGTGTATTTCTTTTGAACGTTTCTATCAAGAAAAAAATATGTTTTTGTTTTTTGTTAATGAGTAATGACAGTGGGAGTCATTTTGAAAATCTTTAATAATTACGCTATTGTTTTTGTATCAGTTTTTTTAAAAATTGTCGTTATGATCATTATGTTCATTAATGTTGTTATTTTTATCATCATTATTAGGCTAGTATCATTATTATTACCAGAATCATAAACTATTAATAGTATTATGATTATTATTATGTTTATTATTTATGGTTATTATTAGTAGTAGTAGTAGTATTGTTGTTATTATTATTACTTCTATTATTATTATTAATATAATATTATTATTATTATTATTATTATTATTATTATTATTATTATTATTATTATTATTAATATTATACCATTGTTTAAAAGAATGAAACAATTTTCCCTCTCTCCCGAAGACTTTTGTTTTATGGGCTTAGTACAGCTTAACAGACTACCAAAGATAAATAGCCTACCATTTCTTTGTTCCCAGTGGGTGGGTGGCTGATGCTCTGGCATGGTTTGCTGATTCTTTTCTAAGTGAAACACCCATCGTTGTAATGTATCTCTCTTTCTTGTTTTTGTTTTTTGTTTGTTTTTTGTTGGGTTTTTTTGTTTTTCGTTTGTAACAACTTTAACCTTTGGCTTCTAGCCCAAAAACTGAAATTCAATGAAATTCAGTTCTATTCTCTCCCGCCTACCACCTCCCTCTCTCCCTCTTTAAAAAATGAATTTCTGTCAAATTCAATTCTTTTCTCGCCCTCCCTCCGCCGCTCTCCCTCCCTCCGCCTCAGTCTCACCTCTGACCTAATTGTGTTTACTAGTGCTGTAAAACTCTCACTAAACCTAAGCTTTGTCACCCAGGACCCCCAGGGACGTGCAGGCTCCAGCCGTCTCATCAGCCCCATGTGGTGGACCAACCACATCCACAGCACCTGCGAGAGGCTGGGCTACCAGAAGCCGCGAGTGGAGGAAATAAAGCCGGAGATGTTCAAAAAGATTCTGGTGGATGATGATAACAAGGTCAGAAAAGCTGAAATCAGTTTCAAATTTGATAAAAATTGCAGTAGTTTTAGTAAAAGTTCTTTATTAATTTATTAAGGTTTTTATTTTCCGGTCCTTGCAATACAGTTTGGTCATATAATAATTAATTATAAGTAAAAGTGGTGTTACTAGAGAGTAATGTACAAACCAAAAAAAAAAGAAAAAAGAAAGACCATGAATGTTTGATAAGACAGAAGGGGCAAACCAAACCAGAGAGTCTGTCTACCACCCACTGAAGGGAAAATATTTAGTCTCAGAAGAAATTGCAATGTACATGATGTATAACCGTCAGTGAGCCTTTGCAAGTTATGCTGTAGCTTCATTACCCACTCATTCTGCATTTCCTGAGCGAAAAGAAAAGCTTTCTCCATGTGTGCCAATGTGTTGTTATTGGGATCTATAAAGGACAGGGATGTAAACTGATCTGTCCAAAAGTTATTTAACATTTCGTGGGCTATACAGATTTGGAAAAATACCTTTATTCAATTCTCGATTAGTACACATAGAGAATGACTCACCATTGAAAGGAGAATGACGGAGCAAATCAAAATTAAGGATTTCCGTAAATTTACGGAAAATTTCCATCCCTGTAAGGAGAGAAGTGGTTGTCTCAGAGAGATGGATGTCTTGGACTGTGTCATTACGATATTTGTTACAGGCAAGGGATGGGGACTGGGAAGAGTTAGTTTGTATAGGTGATCGTTATCTGCAGGTGGTTGTCAGAGCAGGTTTTACTGTATTATAAATACTCTACTCCACAGCTCCTTTATTGCCAAATTCCAAAAGTTGCATCTACAACGTGGCGACGCGTATTCTTGCTCCTCTCTGGGAAGATGAACACAACGAACCCGCTGGAGCTGCGATCTAATGACGTCCACCACAAGTACGACGAGTTCCTGACGTATCTCAGCGACTTCTCCACCAGTGACATAATGTACAGACTCAATCATTACTTCAAGTTCGTCTTTGTGAGAGAGCCGTTTGAAAGGTTACTCTCGGCATTTAGGAATAAATTTGAGACCAATACTCTGTCCGCGGCATACTTCCGCAAACAGTTTGGTAGAAAGATCATTGAAAAGTATCGGGAGAACCCTACGAAGGAAGCTGTAGAGCTGGGAACTGACTTGAAGTTTGAAGAATTTGTGAATTATCTTACAGATCCCAAGAGGAAGTTGCATTTGAATGAACATTGGGATAAATTTCAAGATTTGTGTCATCCATGCATCGTCAATTATGATTTCATTGGGAAGCTGCCAAACATTGATAAGGACTCAGGCTATGTTTTAGAACGTACAGGAATAGCCGACAAAGTAAAATTTCCTAGCAGATCTGAATCTAAGTATGGTCGCCTGGGCACAGATTCTTACATGAAAAAGTATTACACACAAATTCCAAAGAAGTCATTGATTCAACTGTTCAATATGTATAAAGCTGATTTTGCTATATTTAATTTTACTATTCCAGAAGTTATCAAGGAAATGCTTTGAATGATTACATGGTGCCTCTTCTGTACATTACAGAAGATCTGCATGATGTTTGATTAAGTTACTTCTCTTTCATCTGAAGCATTATTTGCGTAATTTTATTGTCTCCATAAACATACTTGTAACTCAAATTTCCCTGACTTTTTTTCTTGTTCAGCTTTGATTATCACGTTTATAATTCATAAACATTTAATCTTTAAAATCGAAATTATGTCGAGGAGAGGATGAAAGTTTTGTTTTTACACGTATTGAACAAATCAGAAATGCAAATCTGCATATTTCATCTCATCATATGCGGGTTTCGCTGGCCTTTTTATGTTTTTGATAGATAAAGAAAAAAGAAATGAAAAATATTTACGGATAAGGAAGTCGTGCATCTTTGTTTTTTAAAGTTCACATTTTTGCATCTTCAAATGTTATCAAGTGATCAGAATAACTTATGATCATGACCTCTTACTCTCAACACTGGAAAATGCATATCTCTGTCAAGTGACATCTCAAGCATCTAGTATTTTATTTTTAAACAATGTCATCTTGTTAAATGGCATTTTAAGCAGCCTATGGGCTGGAATTCCTTGTTTTATAATCAGGGCAATCCAGGTTAATGTTGTTTCGGGCTCTGAGGAAGCCTCAACTTTTTTCTTTTCTTTAGTTTTAGTAAGGGTTTTATGGCACTTATATAAATAGGTCATATAAGTCTCAGAGATTTAAGGTGTTTCTGGAGAGCAACATACAGAGAAAAGTAGGAGAGTTATAAGGATGATACATGTTTGATAGGAAAGAAAGAGCAAACCATACCAAAGCACCAACCAACCTGGCACCCACAAGCCCCCTTTGGAGGTGAAAATACAGACATCATAAGTGCAATCAACTACGGATGAGTTAATGTCGCCGGGGGAGAGAAAAAAAAATCAACTCATCAGAAGTTCAACTTGACCGTTGGGACCTGTAAAGAAGAAAAGGTGCTGGGACCGGAGAAAAAGATCAACTTAACCAAAGATCAACTCAAGCAAGTTCAAGACAAGTGTAGTCGACTGCAGTGTATTAGAGGAAGGATCACACAGTATTGGATGTTTGAGTTGGAGCTAATATTTTTGCCTAGGTAGATCCTTTATTGATATGAGAGACTGAAATAAAAGAGGGATAGACAGAGATCAAGGTGTGAAGAAAAGACCCTACATTTTAATATATGTGGCACGACACAGTGGAATCAGGCGCTCGTCAATTTTTGGGCATATATAGGGAGTTATTGTTATCATCTTAAAGCCGGTTTATTTGCCTTGCTTTTGGTGGAAAAAATATCCAGCTATGTTGAATAGAAGTCGAAATATTTGCTATTGAAGGAGATCAGGGTCACCTGGTTTCTGAGGTAAAATTAGCGAGAAAATGGCCCCCGAAGTTTAGTTATTTCCCTAGCTTGAGAGCCCGTGGAAACTGAACATTTACATCTTTTATGTATTTAATTAACGTTTTCAGTAAAAATTCACACATAAATGTGTTTTTAAAGGGCATAAAACGTGTTACGCTAAAAAACAAAAATTCGATAAAAATTTCCAAACCTGCGGAAAACTGCCAGTTTCTTCACTTTCATTATTTTGAGGAGCGCCTGATTTCACCACGCTGCCTCACATATATGTCTGAGAGATTGTGTGGAATGAGAGCCACACCCCATTAGCGGCCAATCTACATCTCCTGTTGGTGAAGCTACAGATTGTTCATATTCTCCGCCCCCCTCGAAGTTTCAAAACTCCTCGGGTTAATCTTAAGTCTTTAAGAACGTACTGGACACATAATATATCTGATAAGCATCAAATGCAATGTTGGGGCACACTTCAAACCATCAGAAACAAATCAGAGACAAATCAATAACATGCATTTGCATTTCATAGTATGCGTGTTGGTGTCTGCTTTTCTTAGTGTCTGATAAAGAAAACTTAAGTAAAAAAAATTAGCACAATTCTCCCAAAAGCAGCTGTACTGTAAACCAAAAGAAAATAAAAGCTCTGACTTTTTTTTCTATTTGAGCAACCTCTCTAAGGGCCCTGACAGATGAGCTACAATTGCCACGCAGTATATTCTGCGCAGAAAGTGTCGCTTACTTTTGTGTGGCAGCCACACAGGCAACATTTAACGCTACTGCTCAGTTCAACATGGGCGACAGAAGTGTCTGGTTGGCTTTGGTCATGGTGATGAGAAGAATGTTAAAAGACTAAAGAAAGCGACAAAGAAGATTTTTGTTCATCCCATTGTTTCTCACAGATTACTAAGAGGACGTTTTACACCTTATGAAGAACTTCAAGAAGATGAATCCAAATTCTTCAATTACTTTGGTGTGCCCAAAGCCAGTTTCGTGATAAGAAGACATAGTTACACTGGGAATATCATTGTGTTGAATGAGAAGCAAGTAAAAAACACAGCTATTGTACTGTCCCCGTCGTTTTATGCTAGAAAAATTCTGAAATTATGCAAAGTGGGCCCAAAAAATGTGAAATTATGCGATTCTGTTAATTTTAACAAAGAATGATGTTCAAGGAAAATAATCAGAAATTATGAAAAAAATCATAAAATTTTGCTAAATTATGCGGGGCACATAAAACTGCGGGGACAGATTGTAGGAAGGCGTTGGCAGTAAATAAATCTCATGTGTCAGCGTCCCTTGAACTGTGTGCTTCACCAAAATGCTGGTGTGTCGTGGCATAGCAGAATGTGGGCGACACACGTCTGCTAAACCAGGACAGGAAATAGCGCCTGTCGCTCGTGTGATCGCTTCCCTTGTCTACAGTGTATCAGTATCACCAGATTATCTGAAAAAAAGTTCGGCGGTCCCGCAGTTTTCGGTTAGAGCAGACTCAATTGAGAGTCATTCTTCTTTTTTCAAATGTCCCAAAACAGTGCGTCGGCTAACATTGTCAAATGACCAGAGCTGCACATCCTGTCTGAGTTAATAGTATTAGTTAGTATTAGCTAGTATTTAATTTATTCAGCCACTCAGGTCTTTTTGTGTCTTTATGTTGGTCATTTTCCCATAAGACATGCTTTTCATCATTTGAAGATGGGATGCAAGTTTACATTATTTACTAAAACTTTGACATTAACTAGACTTACTGACTCAGTCTTACTCTAAGGTTTGACCAAAACTTTTATGACATTCCCTCCTCATCTTGGTTTCCTATCGTTGATTTGATTGTAGTTGTCACTGCTCCACTGCTGTATTGAATTTGCTTTAATTAATCAACATTTGAGGCTTAAATAGTGTTGATCTTCCATACTTTACCAATAAATGTTCATTTATGAAACCATTCTTCACCTGCCCTGGAGTCTGGCTGACTTTTGGAGCACCACTGTAGATTTTATTACCAGCTTCTTCCTCTCCTCAAGGTTCTCAGCTTCCTGCACCCTAGTAAGATGATCCCTTCATGGCCAGCCTACTCTTTGATGTTGTCTTCTGCTGCAACATTATAATTTGATGTATTGTGTGTGACTGATATTCCGATGCATGAACTGAACCATTTGTATCTCTTGATTGTGTTTTACACATGTTACTCTTCGTTACAATAGATTTTGTTGTCAGTATTTACACTAGAGATTTGCTTTAATCTCTGTTGACTTCATGTATCATTGTCACTTTGAAGGTAAATACTTTAGTACAGTACAATTGTGAATTGTAATGCAATTTAATAAATGCTATATTGTTATTACAGTACTTTTACGTATTAATTTATTGCACAGCTTATTTTCCAGTCTTTTTTAGTACTGGTAATGGTAAAAATACTCTGGATTTATGAGAAATAACACCTGTGAGAAACAGTTAATGCACTTTCCGTTACACTTTCATCATTCCCGGGATTTTTGGAAGTGAACAGACTGTTACGGTTTTTAATGACAAATGCCTGAAGTAACTCTTTGTGCAATTGGGGTCAATATTATCATAAAGAACCATGAATCAAGTATTCATAACCTTTAATTGTTTGCATTAAAAAAAAAATTTTTTGTCACCTGGATATAAGTTAACTCAGCGTAATTTGGAAAGGTGACTTAGGCTGAGACTTTGTCAAAAAGTTTACTAAAAAATATAAAATATCAGGGATATGGGAATGACTATATTTAATGCTATGTATAGTGGCATTATAGTGACTGGAAGTTCACAAAATGTACGAAAGGATATCAGTGTGATTTCATGGTTCGTCTATCATAGTAAACTTTGACATCTCATTGTGTGAGCGAGAAATAAACATACTACATAAAAGCAACGACGTCTTTGTCTTTGTACAAACTCTTGCGCGATGTTGCATCTTGGTCCATGAGAAAATAATGCTACATTCTTCAGAAAAACATCAATTGTGCATGGTTGGCGGGTGCTCTGGTGTGGTTTGTTCTTTTCCAGTCAAACATCTTTCTTCCATATATATATGTCCTCCTTTTTTAGTAGGTTGCTCACTGGTAATACCTCTAATCTTCGGCACTTTTTTTACTTATATGTGTTGCAAGTGCTGTAAAACTCTTACTCAAACTTAATAAGCAAGGTACCAAACCCTGTTGTCCTTAGTAAAAGTAAGACAAGGACGTATCCTGACAATAGGTACAGACTGAACAGAAGAAGATGTAGACGGTAGTAGACCTGAACACTTGTCAGGCTACAATGTTGTTGATTTACCCAGGTTTCGAAAATTATGAGCTGGCCAAGAGTCTTTGCAAGGTCATGTGATCCATTCATTAGAATGGATTCAGGACTACGAAATATCGCTAGAGATTCAGTTTTAAAAGCTCTCTAACCATGAGAGCAGAGAAAAAAAACAGATGCATTTCGAAGGAGTATGAACTGTAACTGTATGATATAACTTATAACATTAGCAGTCTATCGCTCAAATGACAAGCATGTCCTGGATAATATGTTAAAAAAACTCAGAACGCAGCCAAAGCTGGAATAAAAAAAGGCTGCTTGCTTAACTTATGGATAAAAACCTGCCTCAATAAACAGGACAAAAAAACACCAATAAACAGAACAGAAACATGTTGGAGACAAGTGAACACGAAAGGACTAGTAAATAAAAAATATGAATCCAATTCAGGAGACAAATACTTCATTTAATGCATCCTCTTAGACTTTAAATATATGACAAAACATAAGGCGTTCCACATAGTAAGAATAGTTTAAGCAATAACCGTATCCATCTTGTGCTATAAAGATTCTTTTCCGGTAATATTTGATGTCGTGGAAGTTGGCGGCTGAATGGAAGAAGGCAATGACATGCCTGTAACAATGTTTGTCCGGATCGTGCTGGAGCTGGTCTCATCCGACTTCGGCCCGCCCTGAATGACAACAAACTTTTGCGACGTTGTGATGGAGTTTGTGGGGGTGATGGGCGTTGGGGGTTGTGACACGAGTTTCATGACAGATGTGCTGGTGAGAGAGGTGGCCGCCGGGGTGGATGGCCGAGCTTGGGAGACGATGACAAACTTTTGGGCCGATACGCCCGTGGGAGTGGATGGGAGGGAGGGAAGAGATGACAGGGGTCGTGGGGTGACTGGAGCCAGCGATGAGGTCCCGGAGAGGAATGAGGAGGAGGCTGCCCCAGGAGTTGAGGGAGGTTGCTGGATGACTATCTGAGCTGGGCGCTGTGGAGGAAGGAAGAAAAAAAATATGATAGAACTATATCGGTGAACCTCTGCTTACAAATACAGTCAACTCTGATTTTCTTAAATCCGCTTGAGTTAATCTTCGGTTAAGTTGATCCTTTTCTTGGGTCCAAGCAACTCTTCTTTTTTTGCAATTTCCAACAGTTAGTTTAACTTTTAGTGGGGATCAAGTGGTGCAATCGAGTCACAAATGCTCAACTGTAGGAAAGAACAAGCCAAAGGCCAGTAAAGGAAGACATACAGGTGAAGAAATGGAAATGGATTGGACACACCCTGAGGAGACCCCCAACAAGTATCATCAGACAGGCTTTGATGTGGAACCCACAAGGAAAACGTAAGAAGGGAAGACCAAAGATGACATGGAGGCGAGTGGTACAAGCAGAAATGGAAAAGGCGGGGACATCATGGAAACAGCTAGAAAAGGATGCACAGGACAGGCTTCAAGCTGGAGAAATGTTGTTGATGGCCTATGCTCCACTGGGACTTAAAAAGGGCAAGAGAGAGAGAGAGAGAGAGAGAGAGAAAGAGAGAAAGAGAGAGAGAGAAAGTTTAACTTTGGATAAGTTGATCTACTTTTGGCTCGGCCGACAACATCAACTCGTCCATAGTCGACTGCAAATACAATACAAAATCATCTTGTGTTCACATACATATCTAAGCAACTCTCTGTTCAATAGTCAAGAACAGCTTTCTAGAAATAGAAACTAACACTGCAAAAAGTCCCACAACTATTGAAATGTCAAGCAAAAACTATGAATTCAAATCAGGAAAAAACATCAAAATGTTCCCCATCTTCTTTTGCACAGATGAGGATGTGTTCTGTCTTAAAATAAAACCCAACTGGCTGTGACCAAGGCTCAGATCTGGTCTAAAACAGTCAAAAGCACAATGCCATGACACTACAGATGTGTTTTTGCCATGAATACAGTGGGGGTGTATTAATCGATAATAAAAATAACACCGTATCTTTTCCAGCACACACAAGCTTTCTACAAATAAGTATTATGAATACATGAAGAACCCCCTCTCATAAGTTAAGTCATTTCCAGAGTCTATGCCCATGCGAATAACTCTTCTAGACGCTGTCGTTGTTACAAATTTAGTTTTTAGTAAGAGTTTGTTTTATTAGAGAAATGTCCCCCCTTTGGGAATGGCCTAAAGACACTTCAGTTAGTGGCACCTCCCCGGGGGGTAGTAAGAGTTCTATGGCACTTGCAACACAGTAAGGTCATATAAGTACAGAAGATTAGATTCAAAAGGAAAAAAAATGTATCGAATGTTTTGCTCTCAAATTATTTGTTTAAACCGCACAATTGTTTTCAAAACCATCTAACAGAATTATTTTTTTGAGGAAATAACATTTAGTGTAAAATCAAGCTCATTTGACAGACTTTTTTTTTTTAAAAAGGAAGTCTTGTTTCCTGGCTATCCTTTCGAGTTCTTCATGTCAAAGTAGATCAATTTGTCCAAATTTCATAGGAAAAACATCAAGAGCTACCAACTTTACGTGTTCAGAACGAGATGTACGTCTCAGTTTCTAACCAATGCAGAAGGTTCCAGGAGAGGGCAACAAATGCACACAAACGCAAGCAGTATAGTATAGTATAAGGTTTTACGGCGCTCGCAACTGCTAAGGTCATATGAGCGCGCGAAACACAAGTTGTTCACCTCTGCGAAAGTTCACTTCACGACTGGCTAACTAATTTACTTTAAAATGCTAAAAAGTTAAAATATTCAAATTCGGTGTAAATACATTTGTGATCTAAAACAACTTTTAAGTAACAATAAAAATTTTAAATAATATCAAATTCACTCTACAGCTCGCCATAAAGGCCAATGGCCTTTATAAAATTTAAAATTCTGCTGGGAACAACGACGGAAAAAATATCCTGCAATTTCTTGCATTTATAATATTGCCTTCGGATCTCTCCAAAGTCTAGACATTCTGTTAAAATGTGTCTAATGGTAAAATCTGTGTCGCATCCGACACAGAACGGCTTCTCATCTCCCTGTAGGAGGTATTTGTGGGTCAGGGCCGTGTGTCCGATGCGCAATCGAGTAAAAATGACTTCGTCTCTTCTGGAGAGATCCGAAGGATTTCGCTGTTCTAGTTTGGGTTTAATTTCATATAATTTATTATTTTTCTGGTTTTCCCAGTGGCTCTCCCACAGACTGGAGGTGTACTTTTTGACTTTATTTCTAAAGTCAGTCTGTGGGAGAGTGTTTGTCGTTGATCTCAGCAGAAGGGATGAAGCTTTCTTCGCCAGGTCGTCTACCATCCATGCGAACATGATGTTTTTTCCTGTTTCGGATAGTGTATGGATTTTCTGTTGTAGCCTAACTATTTTTGGGTGTAAGAGTGTGTAGTTTGTGAGTGAGGTGATGCAAGACAGAGAGTCAGAAAGGATAAGGAAAGATTTGTTAGGAGAATTTTCTAAAGAGTCCAGTGCCATGTCAATGGCAGTGGCCTCCGCAGTGAAAATGGAGGCTTCAGGATGGAGTCTCCTCTGGTGTGTATTGTTGGGAGATAGGGCAGCGGCGCCCACTTCATTGTCTTTTTTGGAGCCATCCGTGAAGATGAGCTCCGCACCGGGGTATTTATCTATTAGTTTTTTGTATTCTGCTTTAAAAGTTTTGGTGTTTGTGCTTTCTTTGTTGTGTGTGGTCAGCTGTAAATCTACTTTTGCCTTGGTGAGGTGCCACGGAGGGAGGTCGGGGAAAAGAATTTGTTGGATGTCTTGTTTGGAAAAGTGTAAGTTTTTGAGGTCCTCAAGGATTCTGAGGCCGAAAGGTTTGATGAGTTTTTCGTTGTTTTGGAATCTGTTTATGATTTCTGGATTTGTTTGAAAAATGCTGTTGTGCGCTGGATTTTCCGGTGTTGAGCTCTGTTTAACTGCGTATTGTAGTGAGAGTTGTGTGCGTCTGAGTGAGAGTGGTGGTATGTTGGCCTCGGCCTGGAGGCTCTCCACCGGAGAAGTGCGGAAAGCCCCCAGAGCGAGGCGGAGTCCTTGGTTTTGTATTGGATCTAGTATTTTTAAGACGTGTGGTTTTGCCGATCCGTAGACTTGACAGCCGTAGTCAAGCCTGGACCGGACAAGGGAGATGTACAAGTGGAGAAGGTGTTTTGAGTCCCCGCCCCACTCCGGATTTGATAGAATTTTCAAAGCGTTTAACGCTTTCTGGCACCTCACACGAAGGTCTTTGATGTGTGGTATGAATGTAAGTTTTTTGTCGAAAATGACGCCGAGGAAACGAGCTTGGTCCTGGACGGGAATCCTTTCCCCGTATAGTGTCAAATCCGGCTGCAGCACACGTCTGCCTGTTCGGCAGAAGTGTACTGCAACCGTCTTTGACGGGGAGAACTTGAAACCGTTATTGTTTGCCCAGGTTTAAAGTTTTTGCAGCTGGCCATAGATCTCAAATGAGGATTTTTCGAACGGCAGCATATCAAAAAGTCGTCAACGTATAACGAGCTGTCTATGCTGTTTTGGAGGGTTTTCACTATGGAATTTATTTTAATTTCAAATAGGAGAGGAGAAAAGATGCTCCCCTGGGGGACTCCTTCCTCCTGTTGGTGGGGGTCTGAAAGGGAGGATCCGACACGAACCTGGAAGGAACGGTTCTTCAGGAAGTTGCCAATGAAGGCAGGGAGGTGACCGCGTATGCCGAGTGCGTGCAGGTCTCGAAGAATGCCGTACTACCAGGTTGTGTCGAAGGCTTTTTCTAGGTAAAAAAAGATGGCGATCATGTGGCCTCTTTCAGCAAACTTCTCGCGTATAAAGGTCTCCAGGCGGACCAGGTGATCCAGAGTGGATCAGGTGATCCAGAGTGGATCGAGTTTTCCTGAATCCGCACTGGAGACCGCTCAGCGAGCCCGTCGTTTCCAGAAACCACATGAGTCGCCTGTGAATCATTTTTTCAATTAGTTTGCATAGACAGCTTGTTAGTGCTATTGGTCTGTAATTGGATGCGTGTGTGTGGTCCTTGTTTGGTTTGGGTATTGGAATGACAGTGGCGAGACGCCAAGACTCCGGAAAGGAGTGCGACCGCCACATGTCGTTGTATATGTATAATAGGAGTGTGAGTGTTTCTGAGGGTAAGTGTCTAATGATTTGGTTGTGGATGTCATCCGGTCCCGGGGCTGTATCGCCCAGGTCCGAGATGCACGATGTTAGTTCATCTATTGTGAAGTCGGCGTTGTAGGTTTCAGTGTTGTTTGAGTGGAAGTTTAGGTGTTGTTTTTCTCTGTTAGTTTTGATGTTTCGAAAAGTGGTGTTGTAGTTTGCTTGGGATGAGTTTTTGGCTAGAGATGTAGCTATAGTGTTTGCAATGTCTACTTGTGTTTCAGCTGTTGTTCCATCCGGCCTCTGGACGTGCCGAATGGTGTCTGTGCGTCTACCTAAGAATTTTTTTAGCAATTTGGAAAACTTGGTTGAGTGGTGTCTGGCTGTTGATTTTGGAGATGCATTTTTGGAATGATTGTCTTTTGCTCTCCCTGAGGCATCTACGTGCCTCAGCTCGAGCCTTTAAATAAATTATCTTGTTTTCTATGGTGGTGTTGTTGACGGCTCTTCGATGCGCTGCCTTCTTTTTCTTTACTGCGTCCTCACATTCCCAAGAGAACCAGATCTTGTTCCTCCGGGGTTTTGTTTTTGTTTTTGGAATGTGATTGTGGCATATTTCTAAGAGCTTTTCGTGGAATTTATTGTACTTGTGGTCAAAATTGGGATTAAAAATCTTGGAACATTGATTGGCAAACCCGTCCCAGTCGGCTTTTTTGAAGTTGAAGCGTTCTGGGATCGGGTCGTTTTGGAGGCTATTGTTTTTGAGGAGAATTGGGAAATGGTCCGTACGGTCATCCAGCACAGACCACTCAAGATCTGGGACTAGGTCAGGGGTACAAAAGGTGAGGTCAAGGGATGAAGTGCCATAAGTAGCTCTGTTTCTGTAAGTTGGGGATTTATCATTTAAGAGACAGATGTTATTTTGAAATAAAAAGTTTTCTATTATTTTTCCTTTCTGGTCTATAGCTTTGTCTCCCCAAAGGGGGCTGTGGGCATTGAAATCACCTAGCAAAATAAAAGGTTTTGGGAGCTGAGATTTTAAGTCATTTAGTTGGGTTATTTTGAGGGGGTAAGTTGGTGGGATGTAAACTGAGCAGATCGTGATTGGTCTGTGCAGGGTGACCCGTACGGCAATAGCCTGGAGGGTCGTCTTAAGATGTACTTGTCTGTGGAGTGTGTGGTTGTCGGTGTAGATGGTGGTACCACCGGAAGCAATCTGGTTCTCCGTGTGAATGTGATGGTACGCAGTAAATCCTTTTAAGTCTATGGTTGAAGCCGGGGCGAATTTTGTTTCTTGAATACAGGCCACCCGTGGGCACAGTGTGGCCTGTAAATGTTGCAATTCTGCAATGGAAGGTTGGATTCCGCCGGCATTCCATTGCAGGACCGCCATTATGAATTTTTACTTTTTGATTTGGAGCACTTAGGCCCCGGCTTCGAAGAAGCACTCTGACTCCTCCTTACGGGGGAGGCAGAGTGTTTTCTAGGTTGCCGTCCTGGATTGGACGGCGGTCTAGTGGGGGATTTGGAGGAGTGACAGACTCCGCCCTTCCCGGGGTCAGGCCGGGGAGGGGGGTCGGAGATGTCTTCCTCCATTGGTTGGTGGTGGGGTAGGGGGGTGTCTGCTGGAGAGGGAGCAGACGGAGGGAGCTGGGAAGAGGGGGAAGGGTGCACCTCACGCTCCATCAGAGGGATGAGGTGTGAGGTGGAAGAAGAAGGAGGAGGAGAAGAAGAAGAAGGAGAAGAAGAGGAAGAAGAAGAGGAAGTGATAGAGGAGGGGGGAGGGGGAGGAGAGAGGGCGGAGGGAGAATCCACCCTGTCCTCCCCTAGAACCTCAAAGCGGTTTGCCAGAGGTGTCTCGGTGAAAGGAAGAACCTTTTTTGTTTTACTCACAGAGACATGCCTGTTGACCGTGGGCTTTGGGAGGTCAGCAGTACGCAAGCAGACAGAGGAAAACTCTTACAAAAGCGAAAAAAGTTGCACAAACCTGGGTGAGTTGTAAAGATCTGGGAGTGGCCAGAGTGTGCACTGATGACGTTGATGATGTCAGGTTTTTCTCTTTCTGAAGGAACATGGAGTACATCATGTGACCCAGGTAACCGTAGGCAACGTTGAACTCGTCCACCGTCTCGGTGCTGTTGTGGAAGGACTTCAGCACATTGGGCAGGTATTTCTGGAAGAGAACAAATTCATCACAAAAAATGTATTAAAACAGTCTTCTTTATATTAACGTGAAAAGAAAAGAAATTTCCTTACAATAAACTAGCCTATAAAAATTAGAATAAGACAGAAATTTTCTTAAGATTAACTACCTAAAGACGTAAATTGCTCTGGATACATTAGATAAAGCCAGAAACTAGCATAAGATCAATTTGAATAAACATAATACTTGTTTAGATAAACTATAAAGAGACAATCTTGTCCCTCCGGATTTAAAAAAAAAATGATACAGTACACAGAATATCAGGTCCGTCTCTCCTGTGATTTGTGAGATATTTAGAGATTGTGGGACAAGGTCTTCTGTTCCAGAGCCTGTTGTGTGAGTGCCTCCCTTACATTAGCTTTGGAAAACATCCATGACAATGATGATAAACAAAAAAACAAAAATAAAAACAACATTTTAAAATAGACAACAACAGCCTCCCAACTTCATAATGCAGCGTCTAGTCAGTGGAATCTTTAAGAGTTAACACAAAAATGGTCATCAAGTGCAGGAAGAAAACAAGACAGATAAACAGAGGCAGCATACATTATAATGGAAGCAGGAACTTCTGGCAGCCCTCAGCTCAGTTTTTAAAGAGACAATAACAATAAACAGTAAAAGACACTGGTGTTTAGCTCAGGAGAGGGAAGTGTTTAGTTTGAATTACAGTAAGAGTTTTATGACACCTGCAACACAATAAGGCCATAAAAGTGCCGAAGATTAGAGGTGTTGCAAGAGAGCAACAAACACAAAATAGAAGGAGGGGAGAAAAGGACGACAGACGTTTGATAGGAAAGAAGGAGCAAACCACACCAGAGCACCCGCCAACCACCCACAGAGGGAAATGTACAATCCCCCTGACAAATAATTTAAAGATCCAGACCTCTTAAAACTCCTACAACCCAAAGGAATCTCAGATAGAGCAAGCACAGAATCCTTGGCACAGTGGCTTACCATAAGCTGTTTTTTTATGTGTTCCGCAGCAATCTTGTCGATGCTGTTCAAGGCTGAGCCTTCGTTCGCTGACTTGATCCTGTCTCCCAGCATGCAAATGTAAGGCAGCAAGCATGACTTGATCACCTGGAGGGGGAAAAGGCAAAACTGTGACATTTCTCTTCTCATGTTCACCGGCATCTGTGGTGTAATAGTTGGGCATCTCACTGTCGCAAGCAGGAGACCTGATTCCATTTCCCATTTGGGGAGAGTTTTTATCGAGTATCTTGCTCTTTGTGCTGGGATGTTGTATTCCTCTCAGCCAGGATTTGCCCTGACGGACAACATCAAAAGCCCGCCTCCTAAATGATTTAATTGTGATGATGAGAAATGTGACTGTTTGTCAGGTAACAAAACCAAATTCCATTTACAATCCAAAAAGTAAGTTTATCCCCTTGTCAAAAAAAAATACCGTAAGCAGTAAGAAAGGATGCACATTGACATTTACAACAATAGAAAAAAATAGGTCTCCAATTTTATAATATACATGCTGCCTGTAAAAACATTAACTATTTTTTTACAAAACAAAATAGTACTGCACCAATTTAAAAACAAACATGCCTGCGACTACTTTAACTACATCCCTCCATCCATCTATCCCTAGTAAAGCAAAGAAACTCCATCCCATTTCAACAAGTCAGAGTTGCTAACCCGCTATGAAAAAAACATCCTGAACTTTTTAGAACCCCGTTGGAATGTACAGCAGGGGAATCAAAATTTACAGATCATAAATTGTCTCATATTTCTTGCATAAAGATTATCGTTATACAAAGTACAATATGACCAGCAAAAAGAGATTAAAACATAAATAGATGTAAAAGCAGGAGTATATTACAAAATCCCAACAACATTAGAAATACTGATATTCCTAGTTCATTTTGAAAATCAGCGCTTCTGTACATGTGTGAGTGCCTCCCTTACATTAGCTTTGGAAATCCTCCATGACAATGATGATAAACAAAAAAAACAAAAATAAAAACAACACTTTAAAATAGCTCCAGCTGTGGATCGATAACAACAACGTACATGTTAGAATAAGTAAACAAACACACAGCACGTAACGTATATCTACCTCCGGGCCCAGTTCCCCCAGACCAGCAATGGCCCCGTACTGTGTGGCTAGGGCGGCAGTTTCGCTCTGGATTGCTTTGCTGAACTTTTTCGTGACGCGAGCCTGAACGTTGTTGGTGTTGTTGCTGTAGTTCCTGAGGAACAAGATCACAAAAGTTCACTAACTTTGTGTTTTATGTAAATCGTCCCCCCAGAACTATTTTGTCTAAGGTGCACTTTGGACAAAATAGTCCCGATTTGACAAAGTGTCTGATGATGATCAATGCATCTGCAGAGGAGAATATTTCTTCAAGAGAAAGTAAAGAGAAGCACATCACTATAATAATCGTTTTAAGTCAAAGAAAAGGAAAGACAGACAGAAATAACAGAGGAAAAGAAAAGTAGAATCATTTAGTGGAGATCTCCAACCATCCTTTCCTTCCCCCCCCACTCCTTCAACAAAGAAGTAGAATAACCCTGAGACCTTGAAATCAGAGGAGATTTCAGGAGCAGTCAAGAATGTTAATAAGCATTAGAAAATACATATAGAAGTAAAGTAAACTTAATCCGATCAATCTTTCCTTACCTGCATATTTGTGCAACTAATCTCGCAGCAAAATCCCGCAGGGCCCAGTGGTTGTCCATGTCTGGTCGTAGGCACAACTGTCGACTCACCACACACGTCATCACAGTTGGCAGCAAGTCATGGAGCTGGAGAATAACAAGAAACAGAAGATACAGTTGAACCTGCTGTAACGGCAATCTGTTCAAGATAACCACCTAAACAAACATCTCCCCCCCCCCCCATTGCAGTTTTTAAATATAGTTTTTTAATATTATGACGACAATGTCAAAGACATCCACATATCTAAGACAATCACTTTTCTCCCTGACAACGGGTGGTCATCTAGGTCAATTTCAACTTTAAGAATAAATGCTTGTTCATTCTGAAGTCTTGTTGACATAATACTATTAATACTGCCCTAGAACTTTTTACTGAAGCCTGCAGTGTCAAAATTCATTTTGCACAACTAATGACAGTCCACGACTATTTTGATAAAAATTGTTTAAAGGTGCAGATGTCGATTCCACGCAAACTAATGACCCAGCCACGCACAGCCAAATTAAAATGTTTTGATCATCTGAACAGTACTACAAGCATAAATTATGAAAAAGTTTTGAAACAGTGACATATGTAAATCTAAAGCCATGCCTCGCCAAAATTTAGGCTTATCTCTGCTATTTTTCTACATTTATTACTGAAAAAAAAAAAGATAACTCCCTCCAAAATTGTACATGACATACAAAATCTAAATCTGAATACCTCAGCAGATGACACAAAAAAGGGGAAAAAAAAACCCAACAACAACTAACCCTCAAAAGTAAAAAAAATGGAAAAGTCACAGATTCGTCCTGACTTACATATTTATCTAGATATATGGTCTGGTTGTCCAGGAGAGACTTGACCATCCTCATGAGATAGATGAGCAAGGCCAGGTTGTTCTGCACCACATTGATCTTGACACCCTCTGAGGCAAACGCGATGAATCTGGGCAGCATCTGGTGCAGACCCGGGTCTTGTTGGAGACTCTGGAGGGCTTCCTGGTGATGATGATAATGATAAAAATAATAGTATAATAATAATAATAATAATAATAATATTGCCTTTTAATTCATATATAATAATTCTTATCCATGCTCCACAGCATGGTCTAAAAATGTTATTATTCTTATTACCCCCAGCAGACCCTAGACCACTCCAAAACATTCTCAGTTTCCCTGGAAGTATATACCGCGAGCATTTGATTAAGTGCTCAAACTGACAAGATCTTTCGCCATCTTTAGCTGAGTACTTATTCCCACCTGGGTGAAGTCACTAAAATTTGTGTAAAATTATTTCCAAATAATGCAACCAATGTTTACAAATTTCATGATCTGAATAATGAGAAGCACATCAACACAAAAATGATCATTCAGTGATGAGGAAAAGAAAGACAGACAGACAGAAACACATGGAAAAAAAAGAGGAAGTAGGAAATAGCAGTTCTTTCCAACCACTCATGTGATGCAACATAGAACAATGGCTTATCAGTGTCTACAGTAATCAAAGTGAAGCAGGAGAAATGTTAGAACACTGAATCAACAGTGTAAAGCAGATAGATAGATGAAGGAAAAATATATTCATATATAGAGGGTGGGGGGAGGGGGGGGGGGGGGTGGAGACCGAGAGAGAGAGAGAGAGAGAGAGAGAGAGAGAGAGAGAGAGAGAGAGAGAGAGAGAGAGAGAGAGAGAGAGAGTGGGGGGTGGGGGGTGGGGGGAGGGGGGTGGGCGGCAGGATGAGATTAATACAGTGTAACTTCTGTACTAGTGAACTACAATCCACAAAGATGTATACTTAGATGAAACATAAAGGTGTGCCATCCCTGCCTTCTTTCTCCCTTTATTCTTACCACTAAACCAAATGCTCCCTATAAGGAAAGGCTGATTTGTGCCTACTTTTGGCCCGATTCATGTAACAAAAATAAATTAGTAAAATGTGAAAAAAAAAAAAATTCTTGCACAGTCAACACAAGCCCAAACTCACATTTCACTATACCACACTACTCAGTAAAGAGCAGGAGTATTAGTCAAACTGCAGGTATATATACACCAACTTACTGATCTTTTCAGCTCATCTGGTCCCACACAACTTTCTGTTATTTCTTTGTAGTAATATTGTTGCTCCTGCAAAACAAACGACAAAAAATAAGCATGTGAGATAATAACTATGCAAGGTTACATGAAAATGCATATGTGTCAGTATAAGTATTGAATGTGTAACATGGGTTATAAAAATTGTTAAGATTGAAAATGCTTCCCCCCCCCCTCCCCCTCCAAATATCATGGCTAAAATAAGTTAACAATGAAGGTACTAAACACTGCTCAGTATATAACAACAAAATACAACACCCCCCCTCCCCTTGTAAAAACAAACAAACTGTAGGAGATCAAGGCCCAAGCCTTAGTGAGGTGTGTTAGAGGGAAATGTAATAATGGCCCTCAAAATCAAACTCCGCCCATGAAGTTGAAGAAGCTGATGACTGTTAGGTCCAAACCAACAGAAGTTCGAAATTATTTGTTTTCATGGAAAAATATATAACAAATACAGAGTCAATTCAGTGTCAATCTTGGTCTCACACACATTTTTATTTGTTGCATTGCATACTGAGGAATTATATTTTTAAAATAAACATGAACGGCGTGTCAATTCACATCACATAAGTGCCTGTTTTGACAGCATTTAAATCTGGTCTAATAACACATTTATTTAAATCCTATTTTAGTAACTAGTTTAAGTCTTCTTTCAAGTGTGATCAGTAGCCACAGTGATTGTCTTTTTAGAGTATGCGTTCTTTTGTCAGATTAAGAGTGTATATCATTGCTGCAGGATTCTAAACAGTAACTCTGAAAATGTTCAGTTGTTTTCTTTTCCCTTACATATGTCTGACATCACACAACACATCCTATAAATAACTTTCAACCAGATTAACCCACTGGGTAACCAAATAGTCACTACAATGCTGGATTCTGAACAGCTAAAATGTGTTTAATAGCCTTGCTTTTTACTTTTTCACTCTCCTATAAATTTTTTTTTACAGAAACTCAGTTAGCCATTTAAAACCCAGAAGCGATGATGTGCATTTGAAAGTTTCATTGTATATTGAATCGGTCAGTATATGAAACATGTCAATGTGTTAGCTGTTCATTTTTAAAAAAAATTGAAAACATTAAAAAATCTTATTTTATATTGAAGTGCCTAGAGCCACCAGGGAGTGGGCACTATAGGAAAGATATTCATTATTATCAGCATTAAAACTTACAGTACCGCTGGCGAAAGTCGCCGACGCAATCAGGCACACTAAACATAATTAACAATGAATGGACGCACTGCACTGAAGTAAATACCCAAGGAAATCACTCTATATGATAGCCGAATGGTTGATGTATCTCTCTGAATTTTTACAGCGTGTTTCTTGGCTGTCAAGGTTTTTCTAATAAAAAATTCTACCACGGCTTCAGGGTTCTAAACTGGAGTGGTACCCAAGGGTTTTTCACTATATGAGCCTTCGGTACTGTAAGTGTTAACAGACAGAGCAATCACTCACAACAGACAGCTCATGTGTGGTCAGGTTTTTCAGCTTCACTGTGTCTTTGTGCTTGTGGTGGTGATGGTGTTTGTGTTTGCCCACTTCTGGGTGTGCTCGTTTGTGAAGCCGAGCAGTGGACGCCTTCAGCGTTGTGTCCAGGATTTCCTGTTTCTGCAAGTCTTTACTAGCCGGCGGAGGATTCTCTGGCAGAGACGGCTGAACACCATCAATACTGAGCCAGTGAGCTGCAAACAAAAAAAAAGAAAATGTATCATCATTCAATATCTAAAACCACTTTCTTGTATAGTTTTTCAATATCTTATATCTTATTCTTGCATTTTCATTCAATATCTATTTCTTGTATTATCACTCGATATCTAACATATTTTTCTAAATGCCATGTTGCTATTAATCTAGTCTTTCTTGACCATTATAACATTTTCTAAATCCAACAGCCATCTAAGCTTTTCATCAAAAAGCTGTTCAACAAGAAACCAAACTTTTTAAGGAGAGAGAAAAACTATTTCACCCTTTTAAAAAAGTGTGCCTAAAGTATGTATCTTTTCTTGCTTTTCTCAACACTTAGCATCATCAAAGAGAAAGACATTCATATACAGTCAAATCTGCTCTAACAGCCAACTGTCCAATACAACCACTTCCCACTTTGATTTTTTCTAATAATGGCATGTCCACCCGTCTAAGACAAACACTTGTCTCTTCTACAACAGGTGGCCGTCTTGGACTTTTTCAACTGTGTACGTATTCATGCAAAAATACCTTTAATAGAGACATCAATGGGAAGTTTGGAGGACTGCTCGGTAAGCACTGTCTGTAGGTCTACCTCCTTCTCATCTGTGAAGAAAATTTCTCTGCCCCCGCCGCTAGCATGTCGGAAAGGAACGAAGCCATCTTTGTTTGTATGGCCATAAACGGGCTGGAATTAAAACAAATAACATTTTAAAAGTTATCTTACGAGAAACATTTGTCATCTAAAAACCAAAATATTGTATGGAAATTAAGAGAAATGAACTTGAAAGGGAAATAAAAGCATTCACTCTACTGGTTGAGTTCCCAATGCCTGAGACCATATGAGAAAAAAAAGATCATTAACCGACAATGATCATCTGCAAAAGCATTACCAATTTCAGAAGCATGAACAAATAAAGAACAAGACCTATAAAGAGACACTGACACGAAAATAAGCTATAATTCAAAGCAAGCTCAAAGGCGGCATAAAAACACAAACTAAACCAATACAAACATTTTTTAGCATTGAAACTTTGGAAGGCAGAAAAAATGTCTAAAATTTAAACAAACGAGCTTTTCCAAACTTCAATTTTAAAAAAGAACAAAAACAAAACAAAACCACATGCTGCAGTTATTATTTCAGTGCTCTCAACATGTTGCATCCTTTCTGTGACTCACACTATCCTTGTTACATTATCATGACTGCATAAAACTAAGAAAAACCTTAATGACAATTGTTATCAAAATCTATTAACTTGAAAATAAAACGTTTCACGTAATAAATACTCACTTCCACATTCTTCATTTGCAGTGCTGCATCCATGTCTGAGCAAAGCAGCTTTCTTCTCTTGCCATGTTGTTTCAACTTTTCTGCTTCCTGATGATGACAGTACAGCACAGATGTGATTTCCCAGGATAAATAATATAGAACTATATATATAATTCTTTAAACTTTCTGGCGCACCCATAGAAGTGATGAATCAACTCAGTTTAAGATTATTCTTTTTTTTAAACGACAGGGAAAGAAAACAAAAAAAACGACAGTGACAAATTACCACACCGTCTTGCGACAAAGTTAGTAAAAAAATTAGTCAGATATGTCCATCCTGAATACTTGAAATGAATACAGACCTATTAATTAAACAAATGGGAGAAGAATTAAAAATGAGACAATACCGATCAGAACCTCTTCCTCGTCCAGTCTTGATAAATAATGTGGCAATTTATAAAATTTTACATCAACATAGTAATAGTATATAAAATCATTGGGAGGCAGGCTACTAGATGTCTCCGCCTTAAGGAGATCAGATACTATATATTAAACAAATTTTTTAAATTCCACTTTAGGCAAATTCGGTATACAATTGTGTTCATGATACACAAACATACAAGGGACAAATATCATAAATGAGACACAATATAATCACAATCACAGACAATCTACCATAACCGGTAGTTGCTATGCAGAGCCCTATTTTTGGGTTACACTTATCATGTCTTTCTCAAGGACATATCCCAGGAACCATCCACCTAAACCCCATGTCAAAGGAAGACACTTGACATTACTGTGAGCCTGAGCTCACTAACCACTTAGTACCTTTATTGTGAATGAAATAGATCAATGAAATATAAAAGACATACAAATACAACTTCAAATTACCTGCACCAAAAGCTTTAGACGATAAGAGATATCCTCCGCCAAAAAAGAAGCTGCCTCATCAGCAAGTCCAGACACTCCAATAGTTTCCCCAATGACCCTGATAGATTCCGAGGACAAAACAGAAGGGAAGCGACTCTCTTTCTCGGAAGCCATTTTGAAATTTCGTCTGGACTTCAAATCCACTTCCTTGAAAGGCTTCTAGTTCATCAATTCTTTCTTCACAGATGTTTCCTGAAAACCAAAAGACGGATAAATTACAATAGGTTGGGTCCACACAAACAAAAAGAAAATGGGTATTATTTTATTTTCGCTTTCATCTCAGTTCTTATTCATTTTATTCTGCTCCTTTACTCAAATTTTTACTTCATATCTGTTGCAAATTATTAATTTTGAAATATATATTGGATGGCGTTTAATAAAAGTAAAAGTTTCATTTGTACTACTACACTAGGAGGCGTAATTGCGTAGCAATAATATGTTGGACTTGAGAAACAAAATCAGGAGGATTTTCAAGTAGAGCATACCAAGCCTCCCTCCCAACTCAGTTGTTTTGTTCAATCTACTGTTACTACAGGGAGGGCCAGTTTAGATATCTTGGAACTGGATATTAACACTGTGATTATTCTCACCTGAGGTGAGGATAAAATAAAGACTATTCTTGCCCCGGGTGAGAATAACGACAGCCTAGTGTTCTCACCCGATTTGTTTCGGTTTCCTTCCGCCCTTTTTATTTCGTTTCGGGCATTCTCCATCTTTTTGGTACATCTCTACCCTAATTATTATTCTCACCCACGTTTTTCGTTTCCTATCCAGGCGACAAAACTCGCCTCCCAGTCTCTCACTCACTCCGCTGAGCACGCGAGGTGACTAAATTCGCCAACGAGCAGGCTAGCTCTCGAGCACAGGAGGCGACTGGCCTATTGTAGATTTGGGGGAAAACTTTATTTTTATAGCAATATAGCGTCACCTTTTGTTGCTATTAATATTATTGGTTCTGTAATTGAAAATTTTACTCTTGAATGGTATAACCAATAAAAATCAAGGAAAAAATAATCCAAGGGTCAAGCTGCGTGCCTTCATGGGTTCTGTTAGGGATAAAATGTTTATTGTGTTGTAAACAAATCCAGTTCTAACATTACAATGACATACTAACATGATTTCATTAAACAGCTCTCAGTTTAGGCTATTATTTTTAAAACCATATTACTCTGGAAAGTGATTCCTTTCTGAATTTATAAATTTTTATGTATACTTGTCTAGATCTAGGGTTTTGGTGAAGGTATGCATGCATGCATACTGTCAAGATTTTATATATTCTCAGACCGGGTGAGAATAACGATAGCCGGATTACATTAAAGCTCACGTCTCGATTGTCATCATTATAATCGAAAAAGTTTCATAATTAAATGCTGGAAATATAATTAGGAACAAGGGACAGGAATCGAAACGGACGTCATGCTGGACTCAATTCAGAGTCCGAATATATAATTTTTGTCTATTCGGATAGTCACTTCAGATGAGAATAATGAGATATTGCCTTTTTTAAGCAACTGCTAGACCTAGATCTCGATCTAAAGCACTTCAACTCCAGTCACTTCAATAATACACACAACACTGACTGTGTTCCACTGACTGTTCAACTATCTGTGACAACACTAGATCTAGATCTAGATCTACCAGACTACCACAATGAACTACACTGTCATTGTGATTACTGCAGCTGCAAAGAGTGCAAGGTAGGCCTAAATCATATTGAATGATATATTTGCAACTTTGACAATAAGCCGTTTCCTCAAATGACGGTCGTGACAATCCTGGTATTAAAAATCTAGCATTAATAGACAGACAAAAAAGTATAGGCGGCGCTCTTTGGAAATTGCCTTCCCGTTCAATTGGTAGCCAGCCTTTTTCGATTTTGAAATTCATAATTTGCCATATAATGCCAGCCCGAAACCCCCCACTATCGGCGCTTTTTCGTTTGTTTCCCCAGCCGCCATCTTGGACCGAATTTGATTATTCGGCAGAATCTAATATGAAGAGACCATCCATTTCCTTTGTATCCATTGGTTTATCAGGGGGGAGACCTCTCTGAACCCCCCCCCCCTTTTTTTTGCAGGGGGTATGCAGCCCCCCCCCCCCCCTTTAAAGCATGTTCCACCGATAACGACCCAACAATTATTCGATATGCCCAATATAATTTCACATTCGGTTCAAGATGGCGTCCTGGGGTAACAACCGAAAAAGTGCCCCCCTCAAACCCCCCACTGTTATGGCTAGCGCGCAGTATTAACACTTTTCCCACCACGAGTCGAAAAATCGTGGACGAGGCCTCACAGGACTGAAAGCCGCAAAATACGGCTCGAGTGGCTCGCTATCTATTCCAATGCAGTAAAGAAAAGACACGAAATTCTCTGCCGATCCACGATTTCCAAATAATAGAATAGACTTCCTTTTAGCAGATATACGAAAGAAAATATAGCACTGAGCTGAGAGATGATTTTAAGTCATTTTAGCGCTTTTTTTGTCCCCTTCCAAACATAAAAATGAGAAAAAAAACGCTACCCTGACTTCAGTATTATAGGCTTATGTCTCATATTTTCACTTCTAGAATCTATATTAGGTACAGCATGCAAAACTTTCAAAATTTCTTTTGCACTACTAGAGGCAACCTAGATCTAGATCTACCTGGGAAGTTTGAATGGTGCTGTTATTTTTGTACTTTTTTAGAAATATGACCTTTCAAAGCCGGGGTGACGATCGACTTCTCACCGCAGGTGAGACTTGCCAGCATTTGCTATTCTCACCCGGTGTGAAACAAGACCTGTTTTTTCTAATTTCAGAATACTGTCTATCGATGTGGATGAGATCAAATTGACAAAAGCAAAGAAAAAATGACGTTATGATACAAAAGTAAGCTAATTTGGTCGTCTACAAAAATGCTATGGCTCTATGGCCTAAGTCTAGACCTAGATCTAGACAGTTAGTAGACAGACTAGACAGACATTAATCATAGATCTAGTTTTGAGGCCTATAGATCTAGATCTAGATTTCTAGATCTAAATGAAGATTGCGGATGACTTTGCGAAGAACGATCGTTTTTCCTTCGTTTTTGGAGTTGGAGGAATCAATAAGACTTTATCTAAGACAAATTAAAGAAAAGAACAATATATGTCATTATAATTTCAATTGAGCTGTCACCCTCTCTTTTTCTGTCTCTCTCTCCCCTCTTTTTCACATTTGTCTGCCTTCCTCTTTCTCTTTCACACACACACACACACACTCTACCACGTCTGGAAACTGAAACTTTCCGAAAGGCCACCTCTATTCTCACCCCGGGTGAGAATAGCGCAGGCGAGTCTTTTGGCTATTCTCACCCAGAGTGCATTCACCGTTAAAGAAAATAAAAGAAAGGATCAAATACAAAACTGCCGTTCTCTGTTTTAAATGTATAAATGATAGTGCACCTTTTTATCAAAACATTCCTGGAATTATATCATCCACCTAGAGCCCTTAGATCAGCCTCTGATAATGTAATTCTTAAAACTCCAAAACAAAATTACAAAACATACGGCGAGCGTTCCTTTTTATTCTTTGGTCCCCTGGTATGGAACGAACTCCCATATAAAATAAGATCTGCCCCAACAATTTCCATTTTCAAAAGGAAGAGGATAGCCGTACTTAATGACGGCTAGACTGGTTATTCTTAATATGATGGCTAGACTGATCATTTTTTTTAAAAAAAGGCCTACTGAATTGTAAATACAGCTGTATACATTTTTAGTGTGCAGTACCTAAAGTATTTGTATTTGAGAAGAAACCAGGTGCCTTAATGACAGTGCATGTATTTTAAACCTCCTGTTTTCTAATGTTAATAGGGCCTAAGATAAGTATGGCTAGACTGGCAGTCTAGCCGTACTTAAGTACGGCTAGACTTCATGGCTAGCCGTATATAAAGTACGGCTAGACTGAGAGTCTAGCCGTACTTAAGGACGGCTAGACTGTCAGCCGTACTTAATATTGATGGCTGAATTGTAAATGAAATTTTTTGTTTGTAATGCCTAAAGTATTTATATTTCAGACAAAACCAAAAGGTGCCTTACTGACTTGCATGTAATTGAACCTGAATAATTACTAGATCTAGATCTAGATCTAATGAGACCTGTGTACTTAACAGGCTTGAGTCGATAGGGCCAAACCTAGATTCTAGATCTAAGTACGGCTAGACTGGCAGTCTAGCCGTACTTAAGCCACTTCGTTTTCAAAAATCAGCTGAACAAAAAGCATTTTTTATTCACAAAAGCACACCTGTCATAATGATGTACTGTGATATTATATAATATATGTATGTGTTTATGCCAGACTGAAGAAATAGTGTGTGAAAATGAGAGAGAGAAAAAAAGAGAGAGATAGGGAGAGAAAAGAGAGAGAGATAGAGAGAGAGGGAGAGAGAAAGAGAGAGAGATAGAGAGAGAGGGAGAGAGAAAGAGAGAGAGAGAAAGAGAGAGAGAGAGAGAGAGAGAGAGAGAGAGAGAGAGAGAGAGAGAGAGAGAGAGAGAGAACGGAAATGTTTTTCTATCTGTATAGAATTAATGTTTTAATGAATTTCTAGTTACTCAAGTTTCAACTTATTGTGACCTTTCGTGATTTTTATTTTATTTTTATTTTTTAGTGAACACATTTTCAACCTCACTGCGAGACTATTTTTCTCATTAAAAATTTCACACATGTATGCATTTATATTATATATGCATTATAATACGTTGTTTTACGTACGCACTTGTCGATTAATTTTTAAGATGTGATGTCTTTTGCATTGTAATGCGCATTGAGCATCTTTTAGAACATGGAAATGCGCAGTATAAATGCTATTTAATTATTATTTTTATTAGATCTAGGCCAATCAATTTTGCATTCACCCTGAACCACAGAATTCTACACTGTGATAACAGAAAAATTGTATAATTCTGTGCCGTGAACAAACGTTCCATTACTACTGTTAGCCTTTTAAGCGTACAATTTTGTCTGTGGGCGCAGTGGAGAGAGAAGAGTGAGAGAAAGGAGTAGCGCAAGAACTTTCGGGCAAAACAAACTGGCGACCCGGGTAGTTTGGCTCGATTCGAAAAGTTAAATAGCCGTAGCATCTTTGTAGACGACCAAATTAATTTACTTTTGTGTTTTAACATCATTTTTAAACTTTGTTTTGGTCGATTTGATCGTCCACACCGATAGACAGTATTCAGAAAGAGACAGAGAGAGAGAAGAGGGGAGGAGTAGATCTTGCGAGAACTACCGGGCAAAACAAAATAGCGACCCACGTAGTTCGGCTCGATTCGAAAAGTGAAATAGCCATAGCATCTTTGTAGACGATCAAATTAGCCTACTTTTGTGGTATTATAACGCAATTTTTTCTTTGATCCATTTGATCATCCACACCGATAGAAAATATTCCGAAATTAGGAAAAACAGGTCTTGTTTCACACTGGGTGAGAATAGCCTACGGTGGCAAGTCTCACCCGGGGTGAGAGGTCGATCGTATTTTTATTCTCACCCCGGGTGAGGATAGGCTCCACTTCCTTCCGAAATCACTAAAGGTTCCCCCTACCGGGCCTGTATACTTCGTGACTTTGTTCCCGGTAACCGGGTCTGTATACACTTTGTTTGACATTTTCCTTTGGTGGGAGAGGGGTAGATCAAGATCTAGATATCCAGATCTAGCTAGATATCTAGACGTCTAGATATCTAGGTATTCTCCTAGATTCTAGGGGCGTAAAAATAGACAGGTCAGGGACGAGCCCTGGACCAGTAGAGGATTTTGGTCTGGTACTACCAGTGGTACACCAGTGGTAGGAAAAGAGTTAATTTAATACACATGAAAGTTAAATCTTTACTTTCACTCCCGCACACAGATTGCACTGCTTCAGGGGTCAAACTGCTGTACTGTTTGCTGCAGATCACACATAAAGCCACTAAAACTGTCGCAAATATCAATTATTTTCAGGAAAATTTCAAATGTAACTGTAAAATTTATCAAATTATGGGTTAAAACCATGCACCCCCCCAGATTGGTCCAAAGCACGTCTATCTCGACAACAATCAAATATTTCAAAAACTATTAATTTGCGACAGAAAAGAAGCTGATATTCTTGTTCAACGCATCAATATTTAGTAGAAAAGGAAGAGGCTAGCCGTACTTAATGACGGCTAGACTGGCAGTCTAGCCGTACTTAAGTATGGCTAGACTGTGGCTTTAGTACGGCTAGACTGCGTAGCCGTACTTTTTCGAAAAATATGATGGCTAGACTGACCATTAAAAAAAATAGGCCTACTGAATTGTAAAAATATAAATTTTTAATGTGCAGTACCTAAAGTATTTGTATTTGAGATGAAACCAGGTGCCTTTTAAGGACAGTGCTTGTATTTTAAACCTCCTGTTTTCTAATGTATAGGGCCTAAGATAAGTACAGCTAGCCTGGCAGTCTAGTTAAGTACGGGTAGACAGCCAGGCTAGCCGTACTTAAGGACGGCTAGACTGTCAGGCTAGCCGTACTTAATATTGATGGCTGAATTGTTTTATGAAATTTTTAGTTTGCAATGCCTAAACTTTAGCCTAAAGTATAAAATTTCAGACAAAACCAAAAGGTGCCTTACTGACTTGCATGTATTTGAACATGAATAATTAAGTTAGATCTAGATCTAGATCTAATGAGACCTGTATACTTAACAGGCTTGAGTCGATAGGGCCAAGCCTAGATCTAAGTACGGCTAGACTGCCAGTCTAGCCGTACTACGGCACGGCGTCTACGGCTAGCCACTTCGAGTAGAAAATGGACAACAGCATCAACAGGTAATCTAGCCAAGTGTGAGACAGGAGGGAAAGTAAAAAAAATACCACATGAAAACACGGTGGGTCCACTAAAAGATCAATCTGGCCAAAATAAATTCCCTAAATTTTAAATACAAAATAGGCCGAAAAATGGCTGATTTGGACTTTGGTGGTAGGGAGCCTCTAGGCCCTACGGACGGTAGGGTTCACTTAGCCGTGAAAGTGGCTGTTCTCACCCGCCCGGAAGTTCTCGCAAGATCAACTCCTCCCCTCTTCTCTCTCTCTCTGTCTCATTCTGAATACTGTCTATCGGTGTGGACGATCAAATTGACCAAAACAAAGTTAAAAAATGATGTTAAAACACAAAAGTAAATTAATTTTTTTGTCTACAAAGATGCTACGGCTATTTAACTTTTCGAATCGAGCCGAACTACGCGGGTCGCCATTTTGTTTTGCCCGGAAATTCTCGTGCTACTCCTCTCTCTCTTTCTCTCTCTCTCTCCACTGCCCACAGACAAAATTGTACGCTTTTAGTAGGCTACAGTTGTAATGGAACGTTTGTTCACGGCACAGAATTCTACAATTTTTCTGTTATCACAGTGTAGAATTCTGTGGTTTACGGTGAACGCAAAATTTGGTGAACGCGCACCGGGTGAGAATAGCCACAAGACTCGCCTGCACTATTCTCACTCTGGGTGACAATAGAGGTGGCCTTCTGAATACCGTCTATCGGTGTGGACGATCAAATTGACCAAAACAAAGTTAAAAAATGATGTTAAAACACAAAAGTAAATTACTTTGGTTGTCTACAAAGATGCTACGGCTATTTAACTTTTCGAATCGAGCCAAACTACGCGGGTCGCCATTTTGTTTTGCCCGAAAATTCTCGCGCTACTCCTCTATCTCCACTGCCACTGCCCACAGACAAAATTGTACGCTTTTAATAGGCTACAGTTGTAATGGAACGTTTGTTCACAATTTTTTTGATATCACAGTGTAGAATTCTGTGGTTTACGGTGAACGCAAAATTTGGTGAACGCGCACCGGGTGAGAATAGCCACAAGACTCGCCTGCACTATTCTCACTCCGGGTGAGAATAGAGGTGGCCCTTAGCCGTAGCCTACATGGCCACTTTTGTCCTTAGCAATCACTTGTTTCTTATGTAAACAAACGGGAAGGCAATTTCCAAAGAGCACCTAGATCTAGATCTAGATCTAGGCAACTTACAAAAAATAAAACGTAGGTCTAGTTACGATGTGACTGGGTACTTTCATTTGCTGTGTTGTTCTATTCTTACAAGATTTTCGGATTTTCCGATTATTTTCTTCTTCCGCTCTTTACACTACAATGGCGCATGCGCACCTTTTTTCATTTGTTTCGCTTTTTATATTTTCCCTCAATAATTGTCTTCAAGTGTTCAGTTTTGAGAATCGGTTTGAGCTTATAAGTATGATATCTTTATTCTACCTCATACTATCACAACAGGTTATCAATCACCATCAAAATTAAATAATTGGTCACCTTTTTGGATATCTTGTAAAGCAAGCTGTTAGGCCTTGGCTATTTTAAGTGCGAAGAAAAATGGTGAAATATTTTTCTACCTATTTTCAAAAGCAAGAGACTTCCAAAATGCCGGGGCCACAAGTAAACAAGTCACATGATATTGTTTTGGTTTAGTCCACGAGATCGAGATAGATACACTTCGACCAGAAAGACTGGCACTCTTTGGTTGAGCACAGAAAACGATACACAAATTTTTCTTTCGATTCTTAGAAGCTGCATTTTGTCAATCGTTATGGTGTGAGACAATTGATAAGAAGTAATGTACCAGGTACTCTAAATCGAGAGACTAGAGATCTAGATCTATCTAGATCAAGAGATGTTTGAACTATTCGAATTCACGAGACTTTTTACAGTTCAGTCAAGTCGTCCTCACAGCCATGGCAAAGTTGACATCTGTCGTTTCGCTTGGAGAGAAGAAGGAGAAATAAGCTTTTTAGCACTTTTATGCTCCAATGGTAATACATGTTTATGTGTGTCTATTGGGGAATAGGAAATGCACAAGCTTCTAGATTCTAGTCAGTTTTACGCCTCACAACATTACATTACATTACACGGCAGGAAAAATGTTACAGCAGACAGTAAAAAAATGTAACATATCTTCGTAAGTTCACTTAAGAGTAAGTAGTAAGGGAGTGCAAAGGTCCAAAGAAGAGAGGGAGAGGATGCTTGTAGATCTAGTAATTGAAGTCAAACAAAACAATGATGTGTGCACGTGGCTGGGCTGTCGTCTCTAGATCTATGACTATCACCAACAGGTTAGGCTATTGGCATGGTTCCCAACATTTTATGGTGCATTCATTACTTCAAGTCTGTCTTTCTGCCCCACACACACACACCCATTCAACGCCTTTGCAGTCTTAGCCGCAGTCAGGGAATCTTTTACAAAACAGACACGTGTCGTCACATTATCGGCCCAAAGTGACCCCCACCCCAAAGGGAGGTCACTAAAATATCAAGGCAATGAGATGACTGCTTCCCTTCCTCCCTTTGCAAAGGTTCATGTAAACGCACACTCCGTATAAACACACGCTACGGAGCCCTCCCGAGCACCGTGCGTTTAGGCGGAGACTACTGTAATACGAAGTGGCTAGCCGTACTTCGGCTAGACTGAGAGTCTAGTCGTACTTAAGTACGGCTAGACTGCCAGTCTAGCCGTACTTAGATCTAGGTTTGGCCCAATCGACTCAAGCCTTTTAAGTACACAGGTCTCATTAGATCTAGATCTAGTAATTATTCAGGTTTAAATACATGCAAGTCAGTAAGGCACCTTTTGGTTTTGTCTGAAATACAAATTATACTTTTTAGGCATTGCAAACTAAAATTTTCATTTACAATTCAGCCATCAATATTAAGTACGGCTAGACTGACAGTCTAGCCGTACTTATCTTAGGCCATATTTACATTAGAAAACAGGAGGTTTAAAATACATGCACTGTCATTAAGGAACCTGGTTTTGTCTCAAATACAAATACTTTAGGTACTGCACACTAAAAATGTATATTTACAATTCAGTAGGCCTATTTTTTGTAAATGGTCAGTCTAGCCATCATATTAAGAATAAGTACGGCTAGACTGTGAGTCTAGCCGTACTTAAGTACGGCTAGACTGCCAGTCTAGCCGTCATTAAGTACGGCTAGCCTCTTCCACTGTAATATGTTATAGTATATAGTGATTGTACTCTGTAAATGTGGAGATGCTTAGTGTACTTTGTACTATTTTATTATCTGTCACACATGGAGTTGCAGCCAGTGAGCACTTTTATACAAATTTGATGAAATTTTAAACAACTACCGTTTTCTTAAAAATTGACTGAGAAGTTGAAGAATGGTACCAAAATGCTCAGGGAATATAGGCCTTTCATATGGAACAGATAATTTTGAAATTTGGCATACAGCTACTTTGAAAATTTAGTTTCTTTTACCTGCATTATATTACAACCCTGTAGCCTAAATCATCGAAAATAAAATTTTGCTCCTCAAAATCATTAAAACACTGAAAATCTCCTTTCTTGTGAACCCTTGAATAATTTTTTTTTTCGGTATTTTTTTACTTTCCCTCCCGTCTCACACTCAGCTACCAGTTGTCTATTTTCTACTAAATATTGATGCGCTGAACACGAATATCAACTTCATTTCCGTCGCAAATTAATGGTTTTTGAAATATTTGATTGTTTTTAACCGAGATAGACATGCTTTGGACCAATCGGGGGGTTCCAGGGGGGCCTACCCCACTGGGGTAAAAGAAAATCTGGGGGGTTACAGGGGGGCATGCCCCCCTGTTTTTACACCCATAATTTGATATTTTACATTTAGATTTGAAATTGTCTTGAAAATAATTGATTTGCGACAGTTTTAGTGGCTTTATGTGTGATCTGCAGCAAACAGTACAGCAGTTTGACCCCTGAAACAGTGCATCTGTGTGCGGGAGTGAAAGTAAAAATTTACCTTTTTTTCTTCTCAAGAATGATGTATATAAAGTACAATGTATAGTAAATGTATTGTAATGGTTTATGTTCTTTTTGACAATATTTGGGTAGTTATTATTATTTTTCTCTAAAATTAGGGTAACAAATAAGACCTCAAACTCTTCCAAAATAACCAGATTTTATGCCTCGTTTTTTCAAAATTTTCCAGGGGGGGGAGGGGAGGGGGGGGGAATATGCCCCCGAACCCCCCTAGTTTTCAGCCTTTTTTGTGATATGCCATTCTCAGCCCGGGGTAGTGATGCTTGAAATTGAAACACAGTAAACGTAAAGACAATAAAACGCACATAAATTTGCCGTAAAGACTGCAAAAGATTTACCCTCCTCCAGGGGTGATAAACTATCTGCAGAAGAGATAAGCAGCAGCATCATCGGAGCACTGCATCATAAGCCTTTCACATTACCGGTCTTCATCCTGAAAAAACATTGCACCAAAGATTCTTTACACGATTGCGGTTGGCTATATATTTAGATGTAGTCACATGATCGGAGGGGTATCCCGGTCTGTCACACAAGATGGCCGCCTTACCTAAAAATAGTTTGTGTCGTTGTACTTTTAGTTGCAGGTGTATAGTGTGGTTTGATTCCAAGAGAACCAGAGAACTTGCCCCACGGTGGAGTGGACACAGCTGGAAAAACGACATGTGGCGAGTTCACCGAAAAAAGAGTAGGCCTGTCCAAATAACAGTGAACACATCACACCACCTCCACCAGCCATCTTGTACCATTTTAGATTTGTTTTATTGCATGCAGTAAGGACAGGCATATTTTTAACAGGTTATATTGCATCTTAAATGTGTCAGTTTTCTCTTTAAAATGTTGAAATGGGATGAGAAATGTCATGTACCTTTAGATTTTGATTGAATAAAATCTGGTTTTATATTTTAAAAATATTGTTAATTAAAGGTTGATACATGTTTTTCACAAGTTCGAGTATGTGACGAGATAACTGTGGTGAGATCGCTTGAGGTGTGTGACGAGTTATCTGGAAGCCGATTCCAAAGCCTATTTATTACCAAGTGACTTTTTGGACTCGAGTCCGAATAGACAAAAGTTATATTCAGACTCTGAACTGAGTTCAGCATGACATCCGTTCCAACTTCCGAGCCTTGTTCCTAAATATTTCCAGCATTTATTAAACAATTTTTGATTATAAATCGAGACGTTAGCTTTAATATCCCATAACTAGATATCTATCTAAACTGGCTCTTCCTGCCTCAGAAGTATGAACAGAACCACCAAGTTGAGTTGACCTTGCCAGGGGGAAAAGTTAATTTTGTCGACCAATGAGTCTGGCGTAGCGATCTCGCACTCTTGGCTTGCTGGGGGAAGAGATGTTTGGAAGAGGCCTCGGCTGTTGGTTTTGTGTGATGTGATTAAGAAAAAAAACATTACAGAAAAACTATATCGCGCTACAAAATGAAATTGTACATGTGGAAAGACAAATGGTGGTGGAAGTAATGATGATGCTGTAGTGGTGGTGGAAAGACCCTGAGTTGTCGGTTACCATGAACTTAGACACTGCCATTGGACAATGAGAGGGCAGTCTTTTGACTATTGACACTATTACACAGTCCTAGTAGGTAATTCTAGTTCTTATTCTGGTTATAGGTAAAATCCCCGACGATAGTTATATTATGTAACCTCCTTACTCACTTAGAAGCTGAATCCGAATAAATAAAACATTTTTTTCGGACCCGGGTCCGAATAGATAAAACCCATATCCGGACTCGAGTCCAAGTAGATAATAAATCTAATCGGTCTCGAGTCCAAATAGAGCTGGCCATTTATTATTGGGAGGAATTCCGTAATGAGCGGCCACCTATGAAATAGGTAAAAAGAGTTTACGGTTTTGAGGCTAGGGTCAGGGATTATAAGGTTAAGTCTCTTCTTTATTGTGTTTGTTGTGGTGGTCGCTCATTACGGAAGTCTTTCTTTATTATTTATTCTTGGATCACTGTGATGAGTTAAAATGATTTTATCAGTAAACTAAAATTATTTGTATTACGAATTAATAAATAAATAAATTCAGAATGGGAATAAAAATTGTCTTGAACATCAGTTGTGCCAGTGGTATAATCACATAATATAAGGTGTTTAGTTAAAGTCTTCATAACTTAATAACAAGTGACTTAACAGGTTTCAGTGTACAAAGCTGGATGTGTCCAAAGGACCAGAAAATTTCTAGAGAAAAATAGAATTCTGCCTTAAATATGATGAGAGTACAGTAAGGTACACTACATTGTACTTTGTACTATAGGGTAAGGTAGTGGAAAATGAAGGATGAGATAAGTGTCGGTAGCTGTTTCTTAACTCATGAAGAAGACATTTTTGGGGGGGGGGTTCACACTTTACAGTCAACAGACACACTTTACAGAAAAACCCCTGTATCGTCGGCCCCCTCCCTACCCTTCAAGAACATTACAGAAACCAGGGGGTTAGGCTTTAGGCCTATATATTTATTATATTTTGTTATGCTGCAAAAATATGTCAATAACCAAAGTACCTTTTGTATTGCAACTTTCAGACTTCCTGTGCTATAGACTGTACCATCTGTAGACTGTCTTCAGGGTTTTTAAAAGGTTGTGACAGGTTCACTGTATAAAAGTGATCACAAATAGTGTCAATCAGTGGAGAACGATTTTTTGTTTAAAATGTATATTAACTAAATCGTAACAACTATTTAGGTGGTCAGAACTTTTTTGTCACACCCAAAATCTGCTCTCTTTGCATCCTGCTCTTGTTCTCAACCTGTAGGCAAAGTCATTTAATTAGAAATTTGCTCTTGACAGACCAGCTGCTGTTGCGATATGGCATCAATGGGAGGACGCCGATCATCAAGCAGCTCCCTTGGCTACCGGATAAGTCAATAGCTTCTCTGTGCTTTGACCCAACTTTATCATGGCTCCTCATTGTCACAGAAAGTTCTCAAGAAGCCTTCATAATTCCTGCCTTGTCTATTGTGGTGAGTGGAACAACAAAGTTTACCATGGTGTTGTTTGGAACCACATTTTTTAAAATGAGGAACCATCTGTGAATGATGGATTTCACATACTCTCTCTCTCTCTATATATATATATAACGTACATTGACTAAAATATGGTCAGCATTATGAGAGAGAGGGAGAGAGAGAGAGAGATGCATGTTGTCTACTGTGTATTATGTTGTGATTGTGAGTTTCACAACTTGTCAGCTGCGGCGAGCAAAAAAAATTTCTCTCTTGGATAACAACAGATTCTCTCTTCTTTTATATATATATCTTATTTATCTTCTATCTCACCTTTAACCTTGACTTCTTGTATGTTGTTGTTGAGTTTCCATTTCTTTCATGTCAATATTATTTACAAGGATTTTAATGTATTAAAGTGCCATGGAGGGGGTGGGGGGGGGGGGGTGTTCTTTTTTCATCTTTTGTTTTCCTGATTTTGAGAATGTTTGGAGGAACCTGGTTCTACAGTCAGTATATTTAATATAGATCGATGAATTGCTACCATGCATAAACTGCACCTTCCATTTTTATTATTTTTTACCCCTTTATTTTCTTTTTCAGGAACCTGATGCCTTGATAAACCAGCTCTTTAAAACGGATGATGTAACTCTGAGAACTTTTCAGTGTATAAATGGTAAGGGGATGTAATTTGAATTTTGGTTCAATTTTCACCTTTTTCAGCAGAAGAATAAAAAGTTTTACCAGCTGATATTATATTCGCAGACAATGAGGGAGCATCTCTCTCTCTCTCTCTCTCTCTCTCTCTCTCTCTCTCTCTCTCTCTCTCTCTGACAATGAGGGAGCCTCTCTCTCTCTCTCTCTCTCTCTCTCTCTCTCTCTCTCTCTCTCTCTCTCTCTCCCTCCCTCCCTCCCTCCCTCCCTCCCTCCCTCCCTCCCTCCCTCCCTCACTCCCTCTCTCTCTCTCTCTCTCTCTCTCTCTCTCTCTCTCTCTCTCTCTCTCTCTCTCGACACCTGGGACACATTGAACTTTACTTTTCCATCCTCTGTTGCCGTTAAGCGTCGAGGGGAGATGCAGTTTTCTATGGTAGGCCAGCTCCGCAGCTCTTTCAATTGTGATTGTATGTTTTCTTTGGGTTTCCTTGACACTCTCAATCCACCTTCCTCTTCCTTTATTGCGTGAGTGCTTGGTGTTGTAGGCTCTCGAGGCTGGCTGGTCAGGTGACATGCGTAACAGGTGGCCAAACCATTTTATCCTGTCTTTCTATGTAACGCAGGCAGGACTCAGTGCCGATAGCTGCTCTTACTTTTTCATTTCTCTGCCTGTCTCGTCTTGTGATGTTAAGGGTTTTGCGGAGACATTTCATTTCGCATGCTGTGATTTTGCTTTCATGAGATTTGCTTAAAGTCCAGGTCTGGCACTGATAACATAATGTTGGTATGAATATTGAGGTTACAAGCTGTCTCTTTGTGTCCATGGAGATGTTTGGATGAAATAGGAGGGGTGCAAGCTGGTAGGTGACAGCATTGGCTTTTTGAGTTCACATTTCTATTTCTCTGTCTATTGACCCGTTTTCAGAAAAAGTGCTGCCAAGATATTTAAACTCCTTCACCTGTTTCGGTTGTTTACTATTGACATGGATGTTCAGGGGACTATGGTTTCGGCTCACTTTCATAACTTCTGTTTTTGGTGTGTTTATTTTCATGTTGAATTTCTCACAGATGTTGTTGAGTTAGGTAGTGTAATTTTGGAGGCTTTGTTGGTCATGATGAATAAGACATTGGTCGTCTGCGAACAGAAATTCATTTAAGCTTTCTGGGCTTTGGATTGCTTTTAGTAAGTCTGAAATTTGTAATTATATTTATTATCTTTTCTGCTTGAAAAAGTTGAATGTGTTCTATTAAATAAAAGAATGTCGTATCATAAGACATATATTCCTCTGTCATAAAATTTATAGTAAGTCTTCTCATGTTCTTTTTCTTTTCTCCGCGGGTAGAATGACAAAATAAACATACGTTTGTTGAAATCATTTTGTTTTTGCAGGAATTGTGTGCAGTGCTCTGTGGTGGCAAACACTGGATGGAAGGCAAATAGCCATCATTGCTACTGATGTGAGTCTTTGTAACAGTGCATGTCAGCCTTTTTGTAGCAAGTGCCAACTTTCGCCCCCTTATATAGGCTAAAACTTTTTGTAATGCCCACCTGCATGTTCAGTAGTTTTTACTTAAAACAGAAAAGTTTAACACCATTGGGACCAGCCCCACACCTGCTGATCCTATCCCCAGGACCGGAGCCGCCGCCCAAATCCCTTGTAAATTCTTGTTTCGAAGACATTTCTTCACTTCTATTCAATTCAAACTGGCTTCAGCTTCGGTGGGTGGGTGGTTGGCGGGTGCTCTGGTGTGGTTTGCTTCTTCTGTCCTATCAAACATCTATCGTCTTTATCTCCCCTCCTTCTCTTTTGTGTTTGTTACTCTCTTGCAACACCTCTAATCTTTGACACTTATATGACCTTATTGTGTTACAAGTGCCATAAAACTGTTACTAGAACTAAACTAAAACACTTTTGGTGAATTCGAAAGGGAAAGAACTCTTCTGTGCTTGGATAAGCAGTCGGAAAACATGGATAATTTGGAATAAACCTGGACTGGTTTGAATGAGTGGTATTGCCATCGCGTAAATACACGTCGGTGGTCCGATTCGGTATAAGTACGTCGATTGTCCCGAAGATGTTATTCTGATAATAGCCATGAATCCTACAATGATAACATTCTCAGTTGTTTTCTTCCTTTTGAATAAGTTCCCTTAACCAAAAATCCGGCTCAACCAAACAATATCGTGTGGTCCCACAGATTTTGGTTTATGAGGACTCCACTGTATTTCCATGTGGGGGCTTTAAATAATACCTGCCACTACACGAGTGATCCCAACCAACCATGAAAATTACCAAATCACCAACTTGTGGTAGTAGCAGTGAGCGATATCCCCCAGTTTGACAAGCACTGCTGTAAAGTATTTGCCAGATGACTTTTGGTGTGTGAAATTTGTGTGTTCAGGTTCTCTGTTCTGTTTCTTCACCCATGAATCTTGCAGGCTATGTCTGCACTGCACCTTGAGATCTGCCCGTTGTTTTGACCATTCCTTGTAATGGGTACCTTTTTTCCCATACCCAGAATATTCTTATTTATGATGCGGGTGGGTTATGGTCTAAAACATTTCTCTCTTTCTCTTTATATATAGTTTATTTTCATAAGTTAAGTAGAATTGTATAGTGCTTTGAGCATACTTTTGAGCTGGGATATGGACTAAATGAATGCAATCTATTCTTTTTTTTAAATTATTATTATTGTTATTATTATCATTACTATTATTACTGTTAATTCTTTTATTATTGTTATTAACGTTATAAGGGATGGCTCTAACAATTGTTCTTTTTCTCCCCCTCAGATTGGAGAAATTGTATTTGTTGACCTCATGAGTGAAGAGGAGAGAGTCACGAAAATAACAATTGACATAACCGTCACTGACCTGTCATTGTCCCATGATGACTTGCAAATGAACAGTACTCTTCTGGTTAGTCTGAGAAGATATTTAACCCATTTGAGCCCTGCCCACTTTCACACTGATGAGGGAGACTGCATTGCATTTTTTGGGATGGTTAAAGCTTGCATTCCTTTGCCAATCAAAATGGCTGTACTAAATTTACTTTGGCTAAGAATTTGGCAAAATGTAAGCGCTCATGTGGAAGTTGTAAGCTTGCAGTTGGGTAAAAAAATAAAGTGATTTCATTAAAGATAGGCATGAATCTCTCAAAGAGGATATGGTTGCCACAAATGGTCAGGGTTTAGAGAGTTAAAGCTGAAGGAAAACAAGAATGCTTATTTGTCAGGTTGCATAATAGAAGGTGGTTGTGATGTTAATTTATACTTTCTTCTTCTTTTTTGTATATTGAATACATCATTAGTTCTGTAAGATTCTTTTTGCATCCAGCTGCTATACCAAAATCCTTATTTTAAAAGCAACATGCTTGAGGCTTTTTCTTTCTATATGATGCTTCATTTTATATTTTGATGAGAAGTTGTAGGACGGCTACTTTTGTGTGTTTGGTCTTCCTTTCTCTTAAACTTGGTTTTTAAATCTTACAGAACTGTAAAAATATGTTTTCACTTGAAGGCTCCTCCTTGAAGTTTTGAAATGCAAATAAGTAAAAAAACAACAAAAAAAACAGAGATTTGAGCTGAACTGGGCATCTGCAAAAACTTAAATTTACATTTCCTGTCTTTTGTGTTGTAGAACCCATGTGAGTATGTTCTTTCGTGCAGATCACTACTGTCACTGGCAATCAGTGGAGATTGTTGTTAGAAACAAAGACAAATGTCCCCAACTTTTCCATGGACTCTGATGTGGCAGAAATGGGCTATGACAACATCGATGGCCGCACCATTCCTCCTCGGACCATTCTCGACATGGCAGGTAAAAATGGTAGAGTTTCACTGAGAAATGAGACATTTTGGGCAATTTGATTTATGATGTATATCCTTTTAGATTGATGAGAGAGAGAGAGTCAGGGGCGAAGGCTGACCTGTTTGACAGGGTAATCAAAGTGAAATGGGACCAGATATGGCCTGTAGATATCACACAAGAATCTTACTCGAGGCGGCGACTCTGAGTTGTGAATGAAAACAAATCCGGAATTCATATTGTATGTTCAACCGCCAAAATAATCGGGAAAGTATCTTATTAAATATCAGTTCCCACTAAAATTAAACTTAACTTTAAATGTGAATACATAAACATAAAGCAAAGAAGCAGAGATGTCAGTACTAGATCTACATGTTATAGATCTACCAGTGAGTCTAACTCTTTGGTAGAACATGACAATTATTATTTTTTAAATTTCACATTTGGCTGTTTTTGTTAGCCTTTCGCGGCCAGGAGCTAGTGTCATAATCGAGGTCACGATCTGATTATAGGACGGTAAAAAGTCGAGGAAAAAAAACAAGCACAAGCAGCAGTCAAGAGATTATTAAGAGTTAGTTCCCCTCCCATTTGTGAGGTAGACTCGACCAGTGTTAGTTAGCTTACTTACTCAGGGCTGGTGATTGATTTTAACTGTGGCCCCAAAGGGGTGAACAGGGTATATGTGGCAATGAAACAGCTTTGACTGCCATGCACATGTTCCCTTCAACTCTATTCCAGCCTCACTTTATTTGTTGATTACGAACGTCTTTTGACATTTAATTTATGAGGTTTACGTTTAAGGATGAATTTGACAGCGACAATGTTTCAAAATTAGAAAGGGAAGCAGTGATTATTTGATTATAAAGACGCTTCGCCCCTGGAGAGAGTCACTGTTGGAACCATATGGTGCTTATTTTCTGTTTATCATTGTAAAGCCCATTGAATACTTTCTTACTGAAAATGTGCTTTGCTAGTGAAATGTATTTATTTTTCTATTAATAAAAAATAAAATAAATTACACTTTTATTTGTCCTGGAAGGCCACTTTGGTTTGCAATGGCAAGCATACATTTACATACATAAATACATAATTATAAATATGTACATACATAAAAACTTGCATAAATACCTACATAAATACCCAATATTACACAAATACAGAACAGTTTACAATCATGCCACTGTCGGTCGTCACTGTGTAGCGCCCTGTATTTTGAGCTAAGGATGTCATGTCTTGCTCAAGAACTCACCCCAATGACCACCCATCTGATCCCCATGCAAATCAAAGAAAGTGACATTTACATTAAAGCCTTACGGATAAATATGTGTATGCATTTCAGTCAGTTGATTGTTTTACACTCCAATTGAAATTTCAGTTCACAGCATACAATACTTTGCCATCATGACAAGCACAACACAGGATGTTGTTAATTTCACTTTCACATTTTTTTATCACAGCAACTCTGCAATGCTTTTTTTTTGTGCCAGGGTCAACATGCCATGCTTGAAGCCATGGCATTAATCAAAAAGTTTAAAAGACACCAACTCATCTTTGATTCTCAATGCTCACGAACCATGTTCCTTTTTCCCCTGACAAGATGTCTTTGTCTCACATTTGTGCACATCATCAGCAAGAAAATTTTTCAGGAAGGGAAAAAATTATTTCATTTTTTTTTAATGGTGCCTACAGAAAACCTTTAGAATTTGAATATGAATAAAATATCTCTCTTCAGATACAAATGATACCACAGATGAGAAATGGAATTAAAACATTTTAAACAGGCTTTTATTTTAGTATAGCCACTGATAATAATTCATATTTTTGTCTTGCTTTCCCACTGTTGATATGCAGAGGAGAACAGTGCAATATTTGCACCAACTCAGTTCCAGAACTTCGAACCACCGACCTTGCTGAAGCCGCAGTTTGCCAAAGGAAGACATTTTATCACCGCTCATTGCACCCTGTCTTCCACCCTTGAGGTAAGTTGTTGTTGTGCAATGGTTTACCATTTGAACCCTACAGACCAATATTTTGGTTTAGGTAGTGGCTCTCTGTGCCTCAAATGCCAGATATATTGGCCTTCCACTGCTATCTGGAACCTGAGCAACTGCACAAGCCCTTGAATCAGGAATCCAGGGGAACTAGTGCACAGGGTTCCCGCGGCCTCCTTGAATTCAAGGAGTCCTTGAAAACTGCTTGAATTTGCATTCAAGGGAAAATGTCCTTGAAAACTGCTTGAATTTGCATTCAAGGGAAAATGTCCTTGAAAACTGCTTGAATTTGCATTCAAGGAAAAATCTCATTGAAAACTCCTTGAATTTTGCCAGATCGGACAAGAACACGTGTACAGGGTGACTGCCAGGCCCCGGGAATCCCAGGGGCCCCTGGAATTACCCGGTCATTTGAAAAAAATCGCCGAGACCCGGAATGCAACGGGAATTTGAAGAAATCTGTAAATTGCCCCGTGAAAGACTCGGGAAAATACATAAACGTTCTCGAATATTTGAAAACCAAATCCGACAACGTCCTTGAGTTCATTTTTGCCGGTCGCGGTTGTGATATAAAATTCATTCGGCCTTTCCCGGCCTGAGAGTACGTTACACGCGCACATGCGGTAATGGCGGCAACAAGTGTAAGTGTATGTGCGATACCGAAGTTTGATCGGTAAAATCAAGATCTGCTTTCGCTTTCGTTACCACCCAGAAATTTGCCGGTAGGACCTATAGTAGTCTGATAGCGCCACATTTGTAACATGCAGGTTCTGCATTACAAACGCTGTGTCGCCTTGAAAATATATCGTTTGTCCTGTGCTGTCACTTGTGAAAAAAAAAGAAAGTTATACAAGCTTCTTGTCGGGCTCGCCATCGTGACCGGTCATTGAACCTGTGCATTTTCGTCACATCGTGAGCAGCGCGATGGTTGAGGTCACCAAAGTTCATGCAAAGTCTGAGCGCTGCGAAGTATAGGACTCGGGAATGGGGGGATTATTGATTTTTTTTTAAAAGACGCACGCGGGGGAAGGGGGGGGGGGGGTTGAAGGCAAAACCGGATGACAAAAACTTAACTTGGAAGCAGATTTTACTTTTCAGAATTTTGATTACTACTATCTAGATCTCAAGCTCTCTGCTCTCTGCAATGCGCGCGTTGGTGCAGGCCATGTATGGAATCGGGATCTGTCATACTCAAACCTTGTAAGCCGTGTTTTTGTAACTAAAGGGTTCCCGTTTCATTGGGTAGGTGATAGTAAATTATATGTACAGTAGTCTCCGCCTAAGATCCCACCGCTTACGATCCCGGTTCGCTTAGGATCCAGCTGTTTTAAGAAAACAGAATTTTTACTATACAAAAGTCACCCCTAAGATCCCGCTCTGATTCACTCTTAAAAAGGTCTACATTCAGCTAAGATCCCGCATTTCAGATATGTATAATTTGCGGAACAAAAACTCGGGCGGCACAGCCGATCAACCAAGGGGGAAAAGTTGAGATCAATAAACTGTCCGTCGCGTCAAAGATCAGCCACTATCGTGAATGTGATCACATACACGTTGTAAAACTCGATGAAGCGATGCAATGTTTGCCCCAGACGGGATCACACCGAGGTGTGAACTGACCGACACGTTTGTTTTCCCCACGTATCGCACTCACACCTGAGCTCTCACCCTAAACTTACATCACTCGCTGGGTAGGTAGGGCCTATACGTTCGCTCCAGGCGGGATCACATCGAATCGTGAACTCTTCCCCGACCATTGCAGCAGTTGTCTTTACTCCCGAATTTGCGAGACAGACTGAATTTTAATTGGTGTGGTTGGGGGGGGGGGGGCTGGGTCAGAGATGGCAAGCTATAAATTTTCGACAGGTAAAGGGGAGGGGCAGCTGGATAAGCGTAGATCTTGAGACTCATGATAGGATAATTCGTGAAAATGGCACGCCTCATGCCACTATGCACTGTGATAGGTCTTCAAGGTTAACGACTCTTTGCTCGCCATACGTCATAAACCCACCAAGGGGTCACGTCAGTTCATTTTAGAGTGGAGGGAGACCATTTTACCGATTGTGAGCCTTAACATGGGTCACCATAGATTCTCCGCGAGACTACTGTATTGTATTCTATATTTGAGCTTTCTGTTCAAGATTTTCAGATTTTCAGTGTCACTGCGTCTTGCCCTCCCACAGTTTTTACACCTCTCACACTGAATAGGTCTACTTGAGACATTCATGTTATTACTCTATTTTTAGTTTGAGTAATAATTTTTTATCTTTTACGTTTATTGTATAAACCTTGACACCCAGACTGGTTCTTGACAGTGGATATTCTGATTCTAGGCCTTTTCTCAGGCTCAAAGCAAGATTCATTTTTATATAGGGGAATATGATGAGGGGAAAATATAAATAAGTAAGAACTGACTGAAATACCTAAGTCACAGTATCCCAGTGCCACACTGACATGTTGCTGACTGGAATGTACCTTCATGCGTGCATGCGCACCATTCTGTGTATATATTACTAAATAATATATAAATGAAGCATGCACTGTCATTGTTATGTAACATGCCCCTGGAGAATGGATGAGCCCCCCCCCCCCCCCCCCCACCGGAAAATTGAGAAGCTGGGTTGGCAGTCACTCTGCGAAAAGTTTTTGTAGGGAAATCGAAACTATGATATGATTCTTTTCGGACAAGTGTAGACCTTCGAAAATAGGCTTTTGTCATGAATTTCTTGACCAAATCTCCTTGAATTTTAAAAATTTCTCCTTGAAACCTCCTTGAAATCTACTTGAATTTGGTGGGAAGTTCATGGCAGGAACCCTGAGTGCAGTCAGGATCAGGACCTCTGGGTTCAAAGAGTCAGTTCAGCAGCCCATAGTCATGATGAAGGTGCTCATGGGGTAAATAAGTCAAAAAAGGTACTACAATTTTCTAGATTGGGCCAAAGGGAGAATCTATCAAGTTTTGTTTATTTTTTCCTGTTCTCACTTCCTCCTGTATTTTATTTTTCTGAAAAAATGGGTGGTCGGTCAGTTCTCTGGTGTGGTTTGCTCCTTCTTTCCTGTCAAACGTCAATCGTCCTTGTCTTTCCTCCTTCTTTTTTCTTTTTTGTGTATGTTACTCTCTTGTTATGCATCTATTCTGCGGCACTTATATCACCTTATTGTGTTGCATGTGCCGTAAAACTCTTACGAAAACTGAGAGAGTACAATGGTGTCCATTTAAACTAATCACAGTTAATCTGGAAACAAGTGAACCAAAAGAAAATGAAATCCCTGATTTTTTTTCTTCTGTTTGAGCAACCTCTCTATACTTTACTGAAAATCTGGCTGAAGCAAAGAAAACCTAGTGGTCCTGCAACATTTCTATTTAATTTAAGCCAACTCTGCTCTTGTGCTCTTGAATAGAAGTAAAGATGTTTGGAATTAAAATGGTGAGAGTCGCCTGATGTCAGAGTTGAATAAAATTAGTGAGAAAATGTCTGCCAAAGTTTGGTGACTTCCAAAGCTTAAGTGTCCTTGGAAACTGCAAATTTACTCTACTTGTGCCTTTGATCCATGTTGTTCAGTAAAATCCACACAAAAACATATAAATGGATATTGAGCCCCGAAAAATAATTAAATAAAATTTGCACATCAGGCGGAAAAATGCCGGTTTCTTCGATTTCCTTATTTTGACGAATGGTGATTTCACCACTGTGCCACACATTTTTCCCTTTCTTCCATACAGGTCATGGACTCAGATGCTGAGCACAGCCCCCTGTTTGTATACAAACTTCCGGTCGGAGCCGAGAATGTGATCCTGACAGATCGGCTCATTTTCACCATGATACACGACTCCAGGGACAAAAAGTTGATGGTCTTGTCCAACCAGAAGTCAGAAAACCTCATGAATGACCAGCAGGTCAGTGTTAGTGTAGTAAAATAGGAATGCCATTTTGTGGGGTTTTGTCATTTCCGTTATTTTCACTGAAAGAAGATAAGAACACTTCCCTTCGTCTCCCATCTCTTACTTTGTCAGATATTTAAAAAGATCGAACAACTAGCTTTCTCGGAAAAGGGCAAAAAAATCTCGGAGGTCCTGTGTGCAAGTTGCACACATTAAAGTTCCTTTGGTAGTCCTTAAATTGATAAGAGTAGGCTTCAGTCACCACCCAGGCAAAATTCAAAATTAATTTTTACCAAACTGAAAATGGTTAATGTGTCCCGTGCGCTCATATGACCTTATGTAGCTGCGAGTGCAGTAAAACACTTACAAAAACAGAAAAAAACCATGTATTTTCTTCCAGAGATTGTGCTGGTAGTCTTTTGGTTAGACTACTGAACTTGTAATAGTAAGAATACAGGTTCAGGGGTTCGAGGTTCAGCATTGTATCCTTAGGAAAGATTTCTCCCATTTAGCTGTGTCCTATCATAAATAGACGTTAAATTCTGGGGTCCCAACTCTTAAGTAACCTTACACTGTTGCAAGGGATGTTTACACTTAAACTATTTCAATTTTTTTCTCTCTGTTCTTCAGGGTTACAACACTGAAGCAATTGTGCAAGAATTTAGCCTGCCAGACGAAGAAACGTTGATTGGAGTGGAGAGAAAGCGCTATCCGTTTTATTACCACGAACATCACGAGAATGAGTGGACCAACAGAATTAGGGCGGGCAGCATCATTTTGCCTGTGAGGAACCAGGACTCTGAGCTTGACTCTTCTGTCCTCGGTATCCCGGTGACGACTCACACCGTGCTGGATGGCTGTGTCATCGTGACCAACTGCTGCGTCTATGAAATCCGCCCTTGGTGTGTTGCTTTTGTAATCATAAATCTTCTGGGGAGAAGGGAAGAGAGTGGGAGGGGGGGGGAAAGAGGAGGATAGAAATGCTATCATCTTCCGATATAATATGTGAGGGGGGGGGTGTTGTGTATGTTTGTATGAGTTAATCTTCTTGTCAGATTTGTTGGTTGAGTTTGAACAATTTATCATATGAATTATAAAAGGAGTGTTTAAGTTTGGGAAAATGGCATCAGTTGAAACTCTACAAATTGAATGTGTGAATTTTCAGCCGACGTCTCCGTTCATAGATTACCAGAAGTGACTCATTTTGTCAGCATGCCTCAACCATAGAAAAAAGGATGGAGGGTTTCAGTCTAATTAACAACGTGAAATGGCGGAACTTATTCTTCAGAAATTTTTGAAGGTGTCACTTTGGTTACAACATAGTTCAAGCCAAATGCTACTTTGCGGTAGTTAAATTCCTTGTCTTTATAAAGTAGGTACCATTATGAGAAAGGTCATTGTACCACAGGAAGTCAACTGATACTTTTTGTTAGCTGAAAAACATATACTTCAAGTAATGCTGTCTTTTGGTGTTTTTCTTATGCTTCATAGTAATAACGTGGTTAAATTGTAAATTATGATCTTTGAGGTATAATTTCTTTTCATGAAGTAGAACATTGTTCTTATCTTTGCTAAATTCGAAAGCATATTGGTCTGTACATTAAGTATTATATAGCTGTTTAGACTCATGTGTACGACGATGGCCCGAGGAGAGTCTTAAATCATCACGCTTTTTTCTCTACCTCCTCTACATAATTCTGCCAGCATTTCTCCGGAACGTCTCTTTCTTCACCTCGCCTTGACCTCGACGGAAACCACACAAGCAGAAAATCTGGCCATAAGCATCGGCCTTGACCTCACGAGTCTGTCTGAGTTGGCAGCTGACTTCCTTCTGCGGCGCGGAAGTTTTTCTCGTGCCATGAAACTTTATACTTTGTCCAAGGTAAGTTGGTCTTTACTTTGTTGCTGTTTTTAAGGTTGAAAGAAAAAAGAGGGTGGCTTCCTGAAGCAGAAGAGGTGCTTAGCTTGATTGCTTTCTTCTGCATGTGCCATATGTTTGTTTGGGAAAGGTAATTTTATACAGGGAACAAAAATACATAATTGATGTTTATAAGATTAATAGAGGTGCAATTTCTGTTCTATGATTCAGCAGAACAAGAAGATCTGTTGAACATTATTGTTATGACTTTTTATTCAGATTGGGTAGAAATGTCTCCAAATCTTGAACAAGGAGGAGGGTACGGTAGGCGTATGCAGGCAGAGAAGCAAGTTGGAAATCTAATGTCTTCGGGAACTCAGTTCTTGTTGTGATACTGCGGTGTAGTTATTGAAGTTCTCATTACATAGACTATTTAAGGGTGAATTTGAATGAAGTAAAAGAAAAAAAATATTTGAATCTTACATTTTTACAGGATCTCAAATTCTAAATTTTTAAAGCATCATCGAATATATTCAAATTAATGAAATGAAAAACAAATTTTGAAAGGAACATAGAAGAAAAACGAAAGTCTTCTTATGGGAAGTGCTTTTTAGGCTATCGCTAATTATCCTGATGACAATTATTTTCATGGTTTCTTTTTAAGCTTAGACAAGCATGCTCTGATTGCTGTTCTTAGGTGTGTGGTTTGTCCTTTCAGTTTTGAACAGAAATGTTTGCAGTTCCAGGCTATACAAAAAACTTTCCTATGATAATACCTCCAATGCTTGTTTTTAGAGACAGCTGAGTATATCAACCTCCCACGGTTTTGGAACACAAGGGTCATAGCCTTGTTAAAATCTCATAATATTCCATTAGGTAACAATCTTTGTCAATGGGAATGAATAATTCACCATTATGCGGGAGGTGTAACTCTCCTGAAATTGAAGATGAATTTCACTTTATCTTTTATTACCCAAATTTTTCTCATCAAAGGAAATTGTTAATCGCTCCCAACCTGACTCAGCCCAATGACATAAATATGCAATGTTTGACCCATGATAAGAAATATGTGCTCATCCTGTACCTTTTCATTATGGATACTTTATTTAACAAATGAATGTTTTATATGATGTGATGTGGGCCAATGGCCTTAAACACTGAATAGACTTACTAAAACTAAACCTTGAATGCTTATGCCTTTTACAAAAATTAGTTTTGCTAAAATTATTTTCATATTTCCTTTATCGACGCCTTCATTTTATCTGGAAAATGGTACAATAATTGCTAACAGGATTTTTTTCAGAGCTCTTATAAGGTTGGTTAACTGACATTTATTTCTAAAATCAAATAAATAATTGAACTTTTATTTTTGCTGTTTGTTTTTTTTTCTGCTGCTTGTTTGGCTGACAGAAAATGCCTAAGGTAGGATTTTCAATAGTATGGCTGTATTGAGTTTGATGCATCTTGCACTTATTGTTACTAAAATTGTATTACTCTGCTTCCCCAGTACGTAAGGGGGGGGGGGGGGAGAATAGTTCTACTGTTCCACTAGCCGGAAGTGTAGTCGTCATGCCTCCGTTGGAGAAAGTGTAAACATCTGCAATCACATATACACATCATGTGTGATATTTGCTATTTTGCATCTTCAGTCTTCTTCCTTCTTTCTTCTTTCTGCTTTCTTCTTTCCCCTTTCTCGAAGCAGGCCAAGGAGTATTGAAAAAGTTGATACTATTCTAAGACAGTCAGCCATTGTTGAGGAGAAAAATGGTTGTCTTGAACAGGTGGTTATCTTCATAGACAGTGTCATTAAATTTTTTTTTAAGACAGGAGGGGGGGGGTGGGAATGAGAAGTATTTGTTTGTACAAGTGGTTGTCTTGTACAGGTGGCCTTTTGAGCTGGTTCAACTTTAGCCAGGTGTCACATCAACAGAGGCTGTAACTCCCTAGCTGATGGGGTTGCACCTTTTCTCTGTTCTCTCCCTCTGTTCTGGCCAGCTATGTTTCCTTTTTTTTTCTTTTCTTTTTTTGACATGTCAACCAAAGTTCATTCAAGTGCAGAATAGATCTCCAGATCACCACAATGTGTGTCGTTAATGATTAGATATGATAAGATAAGACAAATCTTTATTGTTCAGACTACTGGATCGATAACAGCAGCATTGTCCAGACTCTGGCAATGGGTTAAGTGTTTTACCACATACTCACACTCACGTATGCAGGCACACACATACGTGCACACACACATACACATACAAATTCATGCGCGCACACTAAAGCTTGCATACCCATACACACTGATTTCTCAAATGTCCTCTCTTCCACACACAGGTATAAATATATACACATACTACATATGCTTACACTCAGAAACTGACCCAAATTCACAATCAGATAACATAGATTTTAAAAAACCTGTCAACTATAATGTTTAAGTGAGATATATAATCTGTGTTCTTGGGTGTAACGTGACCCGTAAGATAAGATGGCAGAAGACAATGCTGCTTGCTGGGGTGAGGCCATGAGGCTTTTCTCCCTAAAGTGCCTTTTTTGCTTCTGGGTTCAGCGGGCAAACCGTTTCACTCAATAGATTGTGACTAGTTTTGAGAAGCTGTTGTTGGGGCAGTCTATGTTGAAAAGCAAGATTTCTAGCAGTCTGATTGGCAGCAGTGTCTTTCACCCTCACCTTCGCCTATCCCGTAGTCTGGCTGACCATTGTGGGATCGATGTAGATTTTACCCCCAGTTTCTTCTACTCCTTACAGTTCTCAGCTCTCTATTAATTTTATGATGTTCCAGACATGATCGGTTCTCTCTTTAATATTGTCTTCCCATTGTTTCCTCTGTCTGCCTCTTTGTCTCCGTCCTTGTGCTCTGGAATTTCAAGTGGTGTCCACTCAGGAGAGATGAAGTGGATACCAAATACTCATGAATTCAAAACCTGTTCTTTTCTTCTTTAAAAACCTGTTCCTCCTTTCTTTCAAAACCTGTTCCTCTCTTTGTTCAAATTCCAACAAGTCATGGACAGAAGAGGCTGGTAGCACTCTTTCCCTGGGAGAAATGGACCTTTCAAGGGACAATGTCTCAACCAGTTGTAGGACATGCCTAAATGGATACATAATTAAAATGATTGCTATTTTTGGCTGTCACGCCTAGATCCCTCAGTGCCTTCAAGGTAAATAAATAAATCCTTACAAGTGATTGGCGTCTGAAAATCAAATTAGGGCAAATATATAGACCCGATGATCTCCTTGTCCTAGAAAACAAAGCCTAGGTGTGGTGCTTGTGTGACCAAAATGTGTTGATAGCGCAGTGTAACAGATTTCATAGGCTATCTTATGAATTATTACCACATTTATTTTCATTTTGTTGCCAGTGTTCAAAATATTTGCTTTCCAGTATTATTTTGTTGTGATGAACATAGCATGCTGCAAAAAAAAGTTTTCTGTACGCAGATTTTTCTAATTTTTTTTTGTATTGATGTTTTGTGATTTTCACTCTTGGTTGTTCTACCATTTTGAAATGATTTTATTTTTATAAGCAAGAATGTGTGATGGCAAAGGAAAACCAAGGATTTATCGGATTTGTCACTTTCTGAGAAAAGGGCATTCTCTGTTTCAATATCTTTTATAGATTCTGACATTTTCAAACTACCTTTTGTATTTTTTTTAAATGAAGAATTTTTGAAGAGAACAACCACACAAAGGCCAAAACTGAGAAAACTAAATTCGTGTCAAAGTGGCAAAAGCTTTTTATTTTGTAAGACCCAATGAACATAATTACAGCAGTTGCCCTGACTACTCTTCTTCCCATTTCCTTTTTCCCGCTCAGTCTGTTTCTTTTCCAACAATATAATGTACTATTTTCATATTAAAAACTCTCTGCTAAATAGTTCAAATTCTAGTCTACTGGTAAGGTGTAAGTTGACAGGTTGTGTAACTGGAGGAGAGGAGAGAGCAGAAAATTATCTGTACTAGCAACACTCATTGGAAAATATTTTGCTTAAAATCTTTTAATTTTTGAAAGATCACAGATATTTCAAAATGAATTGTTTTGAAAACTCTTTGTTTGACCCGTGATGCAAACTTGGCTATTGTTCATGTGCATCTTGGTTTTGATCAGCGCGACTTATCCATGGTTTTGCACAGCCCCCACACAAATTTGTTTACTCGTTGTTAGCTTTATTGATATATTCACTCACTCCCTGACTCGTACTACTCCCTGTTGGTTGGAAGGTAATAAATAGACCCAGTTCACAAGGTGCAACACGAATAATATGTGTGGCCCAAATGAATATATCCAACTTTTTGTCTTGTGTATTGTTTGTCTTCTTTAATCTTCCTTCTTTCTTCTTTTTCTGTATGCTCACATTGGGTATGCGTTTAAATTGACTGCTTTCTTGGGTAGTTGGTGGGTGCTCTGGGGTGGTTTGCTCCTTCTTTCCTATCAAACATCTATCATCCTTGTCTTTCCTCCTTTTTTTTGTTTATAGTAAGCTCTCCTGTGATACCTCTAATCTTTGGCTCTTGACTTACATCACCTAATTGTGTTGTAACCACCATTAAAGTCTAACCAAAACAATTGACTGTTTCTTGTATAATAGCGTTTTGTACTCCTACAAAAACTTGACCAAACGGATGCCATTAACTGACTCATTTTACTCCCATTGTCTTCATGTTGGGGAAAAAATACTGAACTGGTTGTGTCATTCACGACTTTCTTGGCTTTACAGAAAATCACGGCATGCGTGTTGTGTCAGATCATTTTTCAACTTTTCAGTCTATGTGTTTCATTTAAGATAATTCTGATCTTGTTAGAAATTATAGAAAATCTGTTATGTTGATAAAGGTTTCGTTTGCATGTCTTTGTTGATTGTATTTTTCTTTTTGCTTTTTTGTTCTTAGAGTTCTGTGAAAGCTTGATAATAATAGAAGCATCTGTGGTGAAATTTGATACATGGCTTTTAATGTTTCTCAAGTATCCTTGAAGATACTTTTCTGGAAGATAGGGATTCAGCTATGACCAAACTTGATGATAATAATCATAATAGTAGATAGCATTTGTATAGCACTAACTCCCGCTATACTACAATAGTGTAATTGTGCTAGGAAAGTAAGCAATCTTTGAATTTTTTAACTGTACAATGGAATATGTAGTAACACGTGTAAGGCGCTGGATTAAGACGTGTTGTTTGTTTTCTTTCTTATTGCTTTTTTGACATAACTGTTCTATTGTCATACCTAAAAAAGATAGGTGATCATTTTACCTCTGTTCAGTATACAGGGAGTGACAACTGTAATGTTAATCTTAGACTGTTTTGTTGCTTCATTTACTGGGTATGAGAGCTGTATTCCTTCCTCAGAACTTAAGATAACAATTCGATTTTTCATTAAAGTTGGGGTGGATTGTTCAAAGAATGTGATTTTAGAAGAAGAAGACTATTTAACTATTGTAATGTTCAGTGGCAAATGATTGTTTGCACTGCATACCTATATGTTCTTGTCTAAAGTAGTGCATGCCTGTCAGATTTGTGACAGTGCCAAATTGTGTGTGTGTGTGTGTGTGTGTGTGCGTGAGAGAGAGAGAGTGTGTGTGTGTTTGTGGGAGAGAGAGAGTGTATGTTAGTGTGTCTGCTCTCATGGCATTGATCCACTCATGTTACAAGTTAGAAAGGTTCCCTCAGTGTTAGTAAAGCGTGACATAAATTTTGTAAAAAATTGATTTGTCATAAGTTTTTCAGTAGTGTAAGTAATGGTGATTTTCACACCACCCCTCCCACTCCTCCTTTCCCTTTCTTCTTCCCCATGGGATTCAAGCATTAATCTATCTTCATTTTCTCTATACACATTTTTACTTTTCTTTTTGATGTACTTCATGTTATATCACATTTGCAATTTTATGTTCATGATAATGTTCATGTATTTTTTTTCATCAAAATATGAGATAGACCAACATAGGAGAACTTTATTATCATTGTCTGCATTTCCCCACACCTGTCAATTGTGACAACAAAAGGTGAGCAAACATAGAACAGAAATGATCCCTGAGATAGCTATACACATTTAAGTAGTGATGCCTTGTGGTATCTCCGAGTCTCCATCACTCATACCCTTATAATTATCTTCCCCCATCCCCCCTTTCCTCTAACCCCTGCACTTCCCTTTATTTTTTTATTCTGAGTTATATGTTAAAGATTTTTCCACTATTTCAGTGCCCTGCTACAAAACGCACGGGTGGCCTGGCTCGCTACGGCTGTGTCTCTGAGACCATGATCCACCTGAGGCAGGTGCTGAGCAGCCCCAGCTTTGAGCTGAACACGTCGGAACGCAAGTTTCTGTCCAACATGCTGCTTCACTGCTTCGTCTATCAGCTGCACAGTGGGGGACAGGCAGTAGCCAATGTGCAAGCAGGTTTGAGGTAAACTTTAACTTTTATTATTTTTGATACATGATGAATTAAATAAATCAACTTAGGTAAATCTAGCAATGGGTTTGAATTGTGGCTGTGTTTACGAAACAGTTCAGCATCTGCTCTTCAAATGTCCCAAACTATAAGATTTTTGACTGAAACTTTTTCTATGTCCCTACCACAGACAATACCATTTACTGCAGAAGAGAAAAAATGTCAATACTTCACCTTTTTTAACATGGCATTACGGCGAAGAGCACATTCTCACTAACTACTACTGGATTAATAACAATAGCAACAATATAAAAATTTGTTAATCGAAAGGGCAAGGGGAGTATACAGCTTCAAGACATTTTATATCCCCTTCCTCGAAACAACGAAGCAGTGAAATTAAAATAAAATATTGATATAAGATTATTTTTCTATTATCCTTTCAGTGACTTCTTGTTTGGAAGTTTCTCTTTTGACGAGCAGACGGCTTTGAATCTTCTTGCGGACTTTGGGGAAGTGGATCTCATCCTGACGTTTGCCAAAGCCCGCGGTCTGGTGGTGGACGCGCTCATGGCACTGGTCCAGGCCGAGGCCTTCACAGAGATCTCCTTCTCCTCTCTCAACGACTTGGTGCAAAGGGGCTTCAGCGCCCACCTCATACAGTGTGGCAAAGGTCTGGGCAGTTTGTTTTACAGTGCAGATTGTTGTTCATTTTCCTCATATTTTTTTTTTCTCCTCCTCATTGTTTTTGCTGTTGTTGTTATTGTTATTGTTGTCGCTGTTGTTGTTGTTTCTCTCCTCCTTATTGTTGTTATTGCTGTTTGTGCCTAGAGCTGTGTGCACACTGGATTAGATGCCATAAAAATTATCTACATTCTTCTTCTTCTTCTTCTTCTTCTTCTTCTTCCTTCTCCTTCTCCTTCTCCTTCTCCTTCTCCTTCTCCTTCTCCTTCTTCTTCTTCTTCTTCTTCTTCTTCTTCTTCTTCTTCTTCTTCTTCTTCTTCACAACTACTTTTATTGTAGAGTCATATTTTTTACCCCCCGGGGCAGTGCCACTGACTGTAGTGTCTTAAGGCCATTCCCAAAGGGGGGGACATTTCTCTTTCAAGCACTGTAGAATTGTAAATGGGCTGATTCATGTCACGCTCATAACTGTGCCTGATCTACAACAGGGAACTGCTGCTTTTTCTTTCTTAATCCTTACTATTGTCATTTTCCTCTACTTCTTTTGTATATTTGTCACTCTCTTGTGACCTGCTTTTTCCGGAGTGCCTTGATAGTCGAAGCAGACCTTGTGCTGTTGAAGCTAGAGAGGTGAGCAGAATAAGTCTAATTCCCTTTAAAGATTTCTCTGTTGACACCCTCACCCCTAGGCGCTCATATGACCTTATGCAGTTCCGAGCTCCGTAAAACCCTCTACTATACTATACTACATATTTTTTATGATCAAACCTGAATAATTGAAATGAAATTAAGGCATACATGGCTACTTTTTCTCGTCCAACGCCATAGATATAACTGTACTGTTTAAATTTTCCGGAATGGCTACCCATTGTCGAGGAGAAAAGTTGTTGTCTTAGGCAGGTAGACGTCTCGGACAGTGTCTTTGTAATATTGAATAAAACACAAGGAGGAAGCTGTCATTTGTACAGATGATTGTCTTGGGCAGGTGGCTGTTACAGAGGGTTCAACTGTATTTGTCACGACGCGGTGGAATCAGGCACTCTTCAATTTGTGGACATATTGAGTCATTGGTATCACTTTAAAGGTTGTTCTTTTGCCTTGCTTTTGATGAAAAAAAGATATATTTATCTTGAGTAGAAGGCGAGATATTTGTGATTGAAGGAAGTTCGGTCACCTGGTTTTTAGAAGTAAAATTAGCGGGAAAATGATCGCCAAAGTTTGGTGACATCCATATCTTAAGAGTCCTTAGAAACTGCTAATTTAAATTGGTTGTGCCTGTAATCAATGTTTTTCCTTAGAATCTACACATAAAAGTGTTTTTGAATGGACTTACAAGGTGGTGAGCCAAATACAAAATATTCGAAAAAAAATTACCAAATTGGCCGAAAAAGCCATCAGATTTCTTTGTTTTGACGAGCACCGGATTTCAACGCAATGCCTTACATTTATGTTCTCCTTTATTCCAGGATCCTACCTTCCATGCCTTTCCCCTGAGGATCTCGTCCGTCTGTTGATCACACGACCCCAGCTGGCAATCCACAACTCTGGCGTGCTGAGGCCGCTGATCTCTGTACTGCAGCCGCAGCAGCTGCTGGAACTGGCGCGGATTTTTGACCCATCCAAGTCTGTGATGAGGGGAACACTGCAGAGACTTCACACCTCTCGGAGAAGGTAGAGCCCACTGCTTGGCTATCTTTTTATAGCCAATACCCACTTTTGCCACATTTTTTTTTGCAAGTGTTTTATGGCATTCGCAACTGCATAAGGTTATATGAGTGCGCGGGACACACCTAACATTTTCAGTTGGTAGGAAAATTTGAATTTTGCCCGGGTTGTGGCTGAAGCCTACTCTTATCGATTTTGTACCACCGAAGGATCTTTAACATTCGCAACTTGCACGTGGGACCGCTGAGATTTTTCGCCCTTGTCCAAGAAGGCTAGGTGTAGATCTTACCCTCCATAAGGTCAGGGGTGTGGCTGAATGTCATCAGTAAGAAGGAGCCAAGGAGAAACAGTAGAAAGGCTGCAGAAAGAGTCAGGAGCCCAGAGGAGGGGGCAAAGGAGGTGAAGGGGTTGGGGCAGAAAGGAAAGATGAAAGCAGATGACAGAACATTGTCAGAGAGCAGAAAAGGATGTAAAAGGAGAAAACTTTAGAGAAGAAAATTTTCTGTCGCTATTCGGATTCGAACCTGGGACCTATTGAATGAGAGGTGAACACCTCAACCTCTAGACCACGAGAGCCCCCTTTTGCCACGTTTAAGGGATGCATTTTCAAGTGGGGCATTAATGATACCTGTCACTACCCAGTTAATCCCCACCACCCACCAAAAATACCAAATGACCCACCTCTCTCTTCCCCTTTGTGGATTGCATTAATGAATTTTTAACCCTTTTGTCTTTCCTTTTCACCAGAACTAACAGTCTGACTTCCTTGTGCTCTGTTGCCAGCGAGGGATTAGAGTCATCGTCGGTAAGTTACAGTTTGTGTGATTCTTTGAACAAATCATGACTGATGCCCTTGAAAATCATACGAGCACAGTCAGCATGTTGTTGTTGTTGTTAGCGATCCAGTAGCATCTGAGCGTTAACTCTTCTACATAATGCCATTCGGTAATAGTTACATATTTGTTCTAATTGTTGTCTTGAGCAGTAGAGGCAATTAGATGTGTGGGGTAGCTTGGGAAGAAAACATCCCCTTAAATCAGTTAGTTTTCTACAGAAGAACAGATGATGTTCCACTGTCTCTGAGGGGTAGTCACATAGTGGGCAGGCAGCAGACTGCTTTACTCCAATTCGGTTGAGATGTTGGTTGAGGGGTACATGTTGTGTTTTAAGTTGGAAGATTATGGATTGATCTCCCCTCCTCAACTCATTGATTGGATCTTTGACCAGTGGTTTATTCATGTGGCCATACATCCTCCTTCCTGTCGTACCTGTGGCCCAATCATTCATCCACTCTTCCTTGAGGTTTGACTTGATCATTTGGCAGCAGGTAGTGTAATTCGTAGGAATTTCAGGCTGAGGGAGGCTAGCTCCTTTCTTTTCCAGAGCATCAGCTCTTTCATTTCCCGGTATCCCAGTGTGGGAAGGAATCCATTGTAGGACTAATCTGACGTGGTGCCTACTTATCAAATTATGTAGACTCCAAATCAAGTGCAATATATCTTTGTTCACATCAGTCCCACTCTCAAGTGTCTTTAGTGTTGAAAGGCTGTCCGTAAAGATAACGATGTCTGTGGTAGTAAGTGGGTTAGTGTCAAACAAGTAGTTGATGTAGTTTGCTATGTTGGTGATAGCCTGTTGTTCGGCAATGAAATTGGAGCAGAAGGACCCGCTGGAATTAAAGACTTCTTTAATGCACAGTCAGCATCAATGGACGAATAGCTACTGACCTCAGGTTTGCCAATGACATTGACGGACTGGGAGGGAATGAAGAATAATTTGCCAGACTGGTGAAACGACTGGATGAAACATCAACCAGATACGGCATGGAAATTAGTGCTGAGATATAGGGATGAAACCATTAAAACAAAAATTACGGTCAATGGTTAACATCTTGTAACAGTTGACTAGTTCAAGTACATTGGTGCTATCATCAGCCAAGAAGAAACCAAGCCAGAAGTCCATGCAAGAATTGCACAAACAACAGGGACTGGTCCTTGTTTTGTTCTGTTGCTCAAGAGCAAGAATAATTTAACTATGAAAATGGTCAACATTGTGCCTCAATGTTCATTAGAAATATTCCATCCGCACGGAAATCCTTGGGCCCAGGGATAGCATGGCCACGTGTCTGCAATCACGCAAAGAACACTGCTGACCTCACAGAATCGAGCTGTAAGATTTGTCTTTTATGAGGCAGTAAAAAATCCCAACACTGCCCATAGAGGTCAAAGGTCACATACAAAGTCACAAGGACATCAGGTACTATTCTCTTGTAGCTTGTTGCAAGAGATTGACTGATTGACCTTTATGTTTGTGTAGGCTTTATTTTCATATTCCGGAAACAAAAGATTGACCTTTATCTTTTAATTTTTGTTGTCTTCATCTTCAGGAAACAAGAGATTGACCTTTATGTTTGATTTTTTTTTCCTCATCTCCAGGAAAATCGAGATATGCGAGCTGACTCTTTGCTGGAGTTTTTCCTGACAACAGTTTTATATTTGAACCACCAGCGTCGGCAGAGTACTCCAACCCTTCAGAAAAGTTTAGAGTTCGAGTCCATAGTAAACAGCCCTGTGTCAGAAGTGGATAATGTTGTGAGTGTTTTTCCTAATCCAATTTCCTGCGGGTGGTTGGCGGGGGTTATGGTGTGGTTTGCACCTTTCCTATCAAACATCTATCGTCCTTATCTTTCCTTTTTTTGTGTTTGTTACTCTCCTATAGCTCTTCTAATCTTCGGCACTTATATTACCTAACTTTGTTGCAAGTGCCTTAAAACTTTTAACTAAAACAAACAAGAATCCAATTTCCTCTCTTATCTTTCCTTTTGTTTTAGCACTGTACTAGCTTTTTTTTTTCGTTCTCTTCATATTGTCTTTCGCAGGAAGTGTGTGGTTGTCAACTGTGGGTTCTTCAACCTGCTGTGAATCTATTGTCCATTTATTCTGTGGCAGCTTTCCATAACAGTCTTGTGTTTCTAGCCTTTCCGGTAACCATACAGTATTTTTGGATGGTGCTGTTAGTAGTGGAGATTGTCCAAGACAGCCACCCCTTGTCGAGGAGAAAAATGATTGTCTTAGACAGGTGGATGTCTTGAACAGTGGTGTCATAGTACAGAAAAAAAACTTTGGGAAGTAGTCTTTTGTACAGGTGATTGTTTTGGACAGGTGGCCGTTAGAGTAGGTTCTACTGCATTTGTAAATTCCCACTTTCACTGTCAGTTGATGAACAAAGTAACAGCTGATTTAAAAATAAATGTCTTATTTAGGACATCAAGTGTAGATTGTGGTCGTCAGAAAAGTTTTTATAAAGTTGAAGAAGAGAAACTGATTTGTTTCTGTCATTCTGAAGTAAGAGAAAATCTATTTCCATGTGTTGTTTCTGTTTATCTGTTTACTTTTTCCCTGCACTAAATTACCATTACTGTGTTTAATGTTTTTCTCTTTCCTCGAGCAATCAGAGCTCTTGTCTTAGTCCTATCAGATCAGAGATGGATATGAAATCCTCTTAAATGACATCACTGCATTGAAATGGGAACCAAACTCATAACATACCAACTTGCCTTACTTGTCTGCTCTTGATATGTGAGCTTATTGTGTCTGGGTAGATAACGTATAGGTGTCATATCAACCTACTGCACTCCAGCTGAAAGTGTAACTACTGAATGAATAACATAGATAAACATCTATGCCCCAATGCAATTTGGTGACCTTTACTTTGAATCATCATCTTCACAGCCTTTCATTCCTTCTTTCTTTTTTTCTCAATATATGGGTGGTTGATGGGTACTATGGTGTGGTTTGCTCCTTCTTTCCAATCAAACATCTATCGTCCTTATCTCTCCTCCTTTTTTTGTGTTTGTTACTCTCTTGTAACACGTCTAATCTTGGGCATTTACATGATCCTATTGTTTTGCAAGTTCTGTAAAACTCTTACTCTAAAAAAAATAAATTATCTAAGCACTAGGCCTAAGGCTCCACCTTTGAAATAACTTATCTTTGTCTAGGAGTCTAGGAGGAGTTAAATCTTGTGCAAAAAATAAAAATAGCTTAGCACGCACATAGCAAAACAATGACAATGACAACCTTTATTTACCTCACAGGGAGAAATTTGTCTTGGTTGTTTACAATAAATACACGTCTCTCGTGCTGAAACGCCTGCTCCGTAAAACTTTCTCTCTCTCTCTCTCTCTCTCTTTCTCTCTCTGTCTCTCTCTCCCTTTCTCTTTCTCTGTGTGTTCAGTAACCTCACTGCAGTTTGTCCGAATGAATTTTTATATCTGTCTGTTCTTGCTTTTTTGGAAATGTATCGTTTACGGCGGAGCGATAATTGAAATTCCGATGTCAATGGGTGGCTGTGGTCACTTAGCATTATTTCCGACTTTTTTAGAACGTTTGTTTTGTACAGATATTCAAAGTTAATTAGGTCTCAAAGCGAACAGATGTTCAAGTCCTGAGTTGTTTTGTGTACATGTATAGTCTGTATATTTCAAACACATACAAAGCGAAATTCCCACATAATGGAAAGATTACCATGTTCTGTTGATTTCACTATGTGTGCACTAGACTATCTAAATTGTGAGACATTGATATGATATGGACATAAATCTTCATTGGAAGGATCAAGACGGCAGTGCAGGTGAAGGTCGTCGCAGACTTTCGGTGCAGGCTCAGCTGTTGTGTGGAGGAGCCAAGCACTCGGCTGTGGTGAGGAACGGGGATTTGTACACCTGGGGCCGGTCGTTACAAGGAAGGTGAGAACTTTGGGAATGAATGTAGTATATGAGTAAGAAGGGGAGAAATAGTGATCTAACTGTCTGTCTGTCTGTCTGACTGTCTGTCTATTCATCTATCTATCTGTCTATCTACAATTTATGTCTATCTATTCATCTATCTATCTATTTATCTGTCTATCTATTTATCTGTCTATCTTTCTATCTCTATGTTAATCCATATATCTATCCATCCATTCATCCGTCCATCCATCCACCTACCCACCCCCCCCCCCCACACACACACTACACACACACACACACACACACACACACACACACACACACACACACACACACACACACACACACCACACACACACACACACATCCATCCATACATCCATCCTTCCATCCGTCCATCCATCCATCCATCCATGTAAACAAACTGAATTCTTTTTACGCTCGTTTTGACAACCACGATTTCTCCGACCAGCTGACAACTGTCAAAGAGACGATTCAAAATGACTACTCAGACGATAGCAACAACAACAACAACACCACACAGACGAAGACAATGACAAGAGCAAGGATATTTTTGTGGTTAATGTTAATGAGGTCAAGATCATGTTTAATCGTCTGAAAGCTCACAAAGCGAGTGGTCCCGATGGAGTAAAAAGTAAAATTATTAAAATGTGTTCTACTCAGTTATCTCCCATTTATACTGATATTTTCAATATGTCTTTGAAAGAACGAATAATACCACTCTCATGGAAATGCTCTGAAATAATTCCTGTCCCAAAGAAACAATCGATACAAAATTTGAACGACCTAAGACCTGTCGCTTTAACATCAGTCCTCATGAAATGTTTAGAAAAACTGGTTTTGAAAGAACTGAGAAAATCAACAGAAGACTTACAGAATAACATGCAATTTGCCTATCGTGCCAAGAGGGGCGTGGAGGATGCCATTCTAGTGTTCTTAGATAACATCTACAAACACATAGACACACGAAGAAATTACTCCAGGATACTTTTTGCTGATTTTTCATCCGCATTCAACACAATCCAACTGCACATAATGGTTTCAAAATTAATTAACATGAACATAAACAAGAACATTATAGCTTGGATTCTTGAGTTCTTTACCAATCGACCTCAATATGTAAAATTAAATGGTGTAAAATCCGACCTAATATTCACGAACACCGGTGCACCCCAAGGCTGTGTAATCTCCCCTGTCTTGTTTACGCTCTACACCAACGACTGTACTTTTGATAACAAAGACATCAAACTAATAAAATTTGCGGATGATTCCACTTTACAAGGCCTTATAACAACAAATGAGAATGAATACAGGGACGCTGTGAATCTATTTACAAATTGGTGTGATAACCACTTCCTTATACTAAACGTAAAAAAGACAAAGGAATTAATAATAGACTTTAGAGTAAAAAAAGACCAATTGCAACCACTATTTATTAAAGATGAAGAGGTGGAGGTGGTAAGCTCTTACAAGTATCTTGGTGTAACAATCGACCACAAACTTGACTGGCATCCCCATGCTGCTCTTGTGCATAAAAAGGTAAATCAAAGAATGTTTCTTTTAAGGAAATTAAGAAGTTTCCGTGTTGACAATAAGACTATGTCCCTTTTTTACCATTCTATGATTGAAAGTGTGCTATTATTTTGTATTTGCTGCTGGGGTGGAAATTGTAAAGTGAAAGATAAAGAAAAATTTGACAGAACCATTAAGAAAGCCAGCAAGATCTCTGGAAATGTATAACACCACACGTATAAAAAAGATAAAAAGCATTATAAACGACCCATCACACCCCTTTTCCGCACAAATTGTAAGATCACGTAGCGGCAGATATGTACCTCCAAAAACAAAGAAAGAAAGATATAAAAGAAGTTTTTTACCATCTAGCATAAGGCTTTTGTCAGAATGAGTATAGATGTGTGTTGCTCTTAGAGTATGTATCTGTATATAACTCCTAAGGTCTAGTATTTAGATTCCTGCATGTGGTTGAATGATGCATTTGATGTAAATGTACATTTTGTCAGCTTTACTTCTCCTTTCATATATTGAATTTTAATGAGAGTGATATATATTATGATTTAAAAATTTTTATGTATACCTGCATGTGTTTTTACGGTCCTGTACAGCCAAGGAAAATTTCCCTCTAGGATAATAAAGTACTATCTTATCTTATCTTATCTTATCTTATCCATCCATCCTTCCCCCCATCTATCTAGAAAAAGAAAGATTGTGATGGGTATATATAACGCTGTGTAAATATATTTTGTTGTGACACCGAAACAGCATGAAAGCACACTTTCAACTTATTCCAATGGAAGACCGGTAAACTCTTAATTTATCTCATCTATCTCATCTGTGTGAACAGACTGGGCCACGGGGACATCCCTCACGCTGTGTGCCCACCGGTGCGCGTTGAGACTCTGCACATCCTCAAGCTCAAGGTGGATGCTGTCGCGTGTGGCACGGAGCACACTTTGGCACTCACACAACAAGGGGTGAGACACTTGGGGGGGATTGTACTGTGTGCTGGTCTATGAAATGTGTGTGTAAAGGGGTTTATGTGACAGCTGAATATTGAAAAAGATTTATCCGCATTTTTGTTTTCTTAAGTTTTAAAAATATTTTTGAGCTTTTCTCTTTCCTGTAGCTGGCAGGACAGAGTTTGGAATAAAAAATAAACATCAAACTCCTGAACCACAATCAATCAAACCTTTCTCCTAGGGAACCAGCATCACTTTCTTAATTTTGAATAAATCCTAAACAAGTTTTTTATATATATCTTCTTAAAAGTTTTGTTTAAAATGAGGAGGATGTTTGCTTTTGTCAAGGAAATTAGATTAGAAAACAAAATCTAGATCCAAGAAAGAAAGCTGAGACTTGACTTTCTGACCTTCTAACAATATTACCCTCTTGTTCTCTGACCCTTTGAACCTCTGACTCACTGATCAATTATCCTCTGACCTTCCGACCTTCTTACTGTCTGACCCTGCAACCATCTGACCTTCTGATCCTCTAACCTTCAGACCTTCTGATCCTCTGACCTTCAGACCTTCTTACCCTCTGACCTTCAGACCTTCTTACCCTCTGACCCTCTATCATGGCTAGGTGTACGGCTGGGGCAGCTCCAAGTACGGTCAGGTGGGCGTGGGAACGTGCCACGTGTACCGACGACCCATGCTCTTGGAGACTATGCAGTCGGAGGTGGTTGTCGCAGTCGACTGCGGCCTGTATCACTCGCTCGCTCTCACGGCTGATCACCAGTGAGTCTTGTGGACCTTTCTGTTTTTTCACACTGATTTCACCATCTTCATCATTAGTCCTGAGGTCTATTTCACCAAGAATTCTTTTCCTGAGATGAAGGTTCCCTTGTTGTGATTTAATGACCAATTTAGTGATGTATATGTCATTTTTAGATTTCATATAAAAAGTGGGCCCCCTCGGAGATAAAGAGTCCCTTATTTGATAAAATTTAAACTGTTAACAAAGTTGCTTGGTTGACTTATTTGTTAAGATTTAAATCCTAAACTGTTAACCTAGTTACTTCATTATTTTCTAGTTATGATTTAAATTCGAAACTGTTAACAAAGTCGCTTGATTGTTAATGTGTTGATGTATTCATTGAAACAATTTAGATGACCTGCATATGTTGTGCAGTGGCTAGGTGCTATGCCATCACACCCAGAAGAGTTCAAATATTGTGTAAGGAGGGTTTTTTTGGTTTATTTTTTCATTGAATATCTTTATCTGTCTGCTGGGATGTTGTCTCCCTCTCTGTCTGGGTTTACCCTGACAGGCACAGTTAGAAGTTGGTCTCCTAAATGATCTAAATTGTGCCAATGGGGGTATAAAAACATTTACATTATTTCTCTTTTTAAATAGAGTATACACATGGGGCTGGGGTGTGCATGGGCAGCTGGGACATGGGAACCCTGAGGATTGCCTGGTGCCCACTCACGTCCGTGACCTACTTAATGTCGGTGTGGTCAAGGTGGCTGGAGGATACGCCCACTCACTGGCTCTGACAGAATCGGTGAGTTGAGAAAAGTGATTTTTTCAGTCATGCCATAAATCAGGAAATCTGGATTTCTGTAATTGTCCAGATTTTGTATTAATATGTTCTTGCTTATGTGATTATTTATCATTTAATCTCTTTTTTGCAGCTCATATTGCAATTTATGTAGAAATGGTCGTGAGACAAGAGGCATTAGATTATATGATCTGTAAATACTGAGATCTCATGTGCACATTTCCTTGGGGTCTGAAAATTTCAGGTTATTTTTCCTTTGCCTAGTTGCACCTCTGATTTTTGTGTAATTGTGTTGCACTTCCATCTCATATAGTCTAGTAGATTTTTCTCTTTTACTAGAGCAAATTAAAAAAATCTAGTATTGTCTTAAATAAGGTCAGTGAGACTTTTTGAGATGTTTGAATTACTTTCACTTTTATTCATTAAATGCCTTGATTTACTCGAGAGACATATTCTGGATGCAAAGGTAGAAGACGAGAGAGGAAGGAGGACACCTAACTCGAGATGGGAACAGGATATAGAAACATGGTTTGGCCCTAAAACAACATAAGCAGGCAGAATAGCAAGAGAGTGTGTTTTATAATTGTGGGAAGGTCAGAAAAGCAATATCCAACTACAGAAAAAGCTAATAAAATGAAGAAGAAGAAGTCGTGCTGTCTCAGATGGTAGATTATCTTCTTTACCAGGTTATATTTAATAATTCTGGGTTCATTTTTGATTAGGTCAGAATGTCTTTTCAGATGTGATTTTATTACCTGTACTGTTCACCGGTTTGGGAAAAGTATTGGCCCCACTTTATATTATCATGTAGAAGTTGTGTATTCCATACTCTCTGTTGTTCCAGTGACACTTTCTCATTGATTTTCAGGATTTTCTCTTTTGCAATACGCCTTACTTGAATAAATTATTTGCATGCATCATAGAATGTCTCATGATATGCATCATACATCCTGGTGAACCTTCTTTTTTTCTCCTTTTGTTCCTTCTGTCTGTTATGCTTCTTGCTGTTTACCTACACTAAGGGGCCATTATTGTGTCTATGGGCCTCTTTAAACTCAAATGATCTACCTTCTAAATCAGGCATAGGCAATCATGTCCAAGTCATGCATTGGATTACGCTATTTTGAATATTTTGCAGGCCCAAGTGAAGAAAATTGGGTGAAACTGGTTGAAATACCCAAGCTCTCAAAAGTGACATGTTAGTAATGTTACTATAGGGCGTCTCATGAGATGAAATAATAGATCTATTGTTTCCAGCTGTGCTGAAAACTATTGATTTTAATTTTGAAGATGAATAGTTGTTGTTTTTCTTATTTATAACTGCAGGCTACATACATTATTGATTACTGGGTTGACTCACAGGCCAGACTGAAACCGCTGGCAGTTCAGATCCTTAGGCCATAGTTTGCCCATGGTTGTTCTACATGATCTTCATTATGTCTGGTTGAATTTGATATTTCTACGACTGCTTCTTTCTTGTAAACATTTGTATTGTTTGACCAGGGAGATGTGTTCGCCTTTGGCTGTGGCTACTTTGGTCAGCTGGGTCAGGGCACCAACACCAAGAGTTCAAGGCCACTCAAGATACACGAGATCCCACAACCCGTCATGAGCATTGCCACAAAGTATTTCCACTCGGTAAGAGTTTCCTTGCTTAAACCGACAAAGTCATGCTGCCTCTCCTAGATATGCTATCTCTGTATATTTATTTCTGTACCTTTGTCTGCCATTTTGTTTGACTTGGAAATTTATTAATTATGCATATATGTGAAGCAGCTTGGTGAAATCAGGCGCTCGTCAAAGTAATGAAATTAAAGAAACTGGCCTTTTCCCTTTTATGTCAATGGTTTGTTGACTTTCAAGGCTTTCCTGTATATGTCTGTCAACTGGGAAGTGTTAAGCAGGACAGATACAATGCAAGTGTCATTTCCTTCATTTTGTCCGTCAACATTCGTCTTCCATAGGTTGCTGTGACCACAACCAACAAAGTGTACGTGTGGGGATGTCATCCTCATAACCTGAGACAGGTGGCATCTTCCATGCGTCAAGGCAAAGCTGCTGGGCGTTACATCCCAGAACAGACGTCTTTCCTCAACCCCAGCCTGGTAGATACGACCTATGTACATGGGAAAATCACTAAGGTGACGATCAAATACTTTGTTTTGTAATTTGTGATGCCGCAGCCTTTTTCTTCTTCCTTTATCTTCAGAATCCACACTGGGCTTCCACCTTTGACACTTCCTCAGAAATAATAGAATTAAATACAAGGACAACGATGCTCAAATGTACATACTTAAATTAATTTTTGTTGATTGTATCTGCCTTCATCCCTGTTATTTATTTTAACTGCTTTGCTAAGTGAGGAAGTTCACTTTTTAATGCACTTATGCACTTGAGGCAACTCCTACAAAAAAACAACAACAACAGAAACAAAAAAAAAACCTCGGAAAAAGTTCAGTGCTGCTGCTGGTAAATCCAGTGCTTTTTCTATGTGATTGTTTATTCCCTACTTTCTTCCTCTTCCCCACTCAAAATGACTCTTATTATTTCAATGTAGGCCTACTTCTCTTGATTTCAAACTAGCCATCAAATCTTCAGCTTGACATTTAACTGTATTAAGATAAAGTTTCTCGTATGCATGTTTTTGTAATGTCATTGAGACAAGCTATAGAGTCATTGTCAGGTGTGCAAGAATGATATTATTTTGTATGTCATCCAATGACTATTTGTGTGTCTATGAGCATCTGTGCATGTAAGTGTGTGTGGATGTGTGTGGGTGTGATGTGGGTGTGTGTGTGTGAGAGAGAGAGAGAGAGAGATTGTATAATAATGAGTGCATGTGTATGTATGTATTTACGATGCTGCAGCAAATGTCTCTTTTGTGGAAATTAATTAACTGTTCTGTTATTTTGTCTTGTCTTACCTTATCCTCTCTTATCTTTTTATCTTATCTGACTTACCGTATCTTACGTCCCAGGTGTGTTGCGGCAGTCTCCACACAGTCCTTGTGGCTGAGGATGGAGGTGTGTACGTGTGGGGGAGGAACTTGGAGGGTCAGCTAGGGACAGGATCCAGACAGGATGAGGTATGATGGTCAAAGCTCAGAATGTTCCTAATTGATTTTTAAGATCTGCCTTTCTTTGGAAAGTGATTAACACATTAATGAATCAGCGTGTTTTGTCTTTTCTCCAACAACTAAAATTTCCTTTTGATCTCTTATTTTCATGTAATCTTGTTTTCTATGTATGCTACGTTACCATGATTTTCAAGTCTTCCTTTTTTATGCGAGTTCTATTTCTTTGTTTATCAGGTTAGACATTGTTTCTTAACCCTATCCGTACGCCCTGGGGTCATTTTGTACCCCCAGGGTTGTGTTCTTCACATTTTAGAATACTTCTAGTATGAAGATCTCTTAGAAGCTTTCAGTATTTCTCAAAAAGTCATTTTGACGGACTCCTATGCAAAGCGTTTGGATCGGATTAACGAGTAAATTTCCTCTTTGAAAGTGATGGCACAGAGTTCCCCATGTCGTATGGATACGATAGTAAAACACAGCGCACAGATAGGGTTAAGGAAAGATACTTTATATCTTCCATTGGTTCGGCTGAAAGTGGGACCTAAAGATCAATACATTGGTAACATGATAGTTTGTGCCTAACAGGCTGCAACAACAAACCTTGGAATGAACTAACGTGCCAAGATAGTTGTTATGTAGCAGTGTTACCCTTTTCCTCAGAGGGGATCCACACACATACATAAACACTGCACAGCTGTAGTTGAACCTTCTCTAAAGCTAGGCGCGCACAGGGCAACTTTATCTGCGCAACAGTTTAAATCTTCTGCGCTTGCCTCTTCTCAGTTTACTGTGTAACACAGAAGTTTTTAGCAACAGTTGCCTGCAAGTTGTGACAAAACACAAACTTTTCGGTCGCCGGAATCTGGAGTTGCCTGTGCTCACCGTGCTTCTTTGTTTCATTGATTTCACTCGGGCAACAAAACTGTTGTGCGGTTTAAGTTACCCTGTGTGCGCCTTGCCTAATGACCACGTGTCCAAGGCAAACGCCTGTACTTCCCAATTTCCATCATGCCTTTTTTTAAAGATTACAATGGGTAGCCATCTTGGTCTATTCTGACTGTATTTACTTTACCCCATAAAACCCCAAACTGATTGGCTTGCTATTCTTTGACCAGCGGATGCCAAAGATGCTGACATCGATCAATGACCAGAACATCGTGTGTGTGGCTAGCGGAGGAGAGTTCACACTCGCCATGGACGCCGAGGGAAGTGTCTGGCTCTGGGGAAAGAACGACAGTGGACAGGTAAAGAATAATAATAATAAATAATAAATAGCATTTGTATAGCGCATATCCCCGCTCAACAGCAGGCTCTATGCGCTTTACACTATATTAAAGAACGACAGTGGACAGATAAAAAACGACAAAGGACGACAGTTGACAGGTAAAGAACGACAGAACGACAAAGAATGACAGTGGACAGGTAAGGACAGTGGACAGGTAAAGAACGACATTAAAACGACATTAAACAGGTAAAGAACAACAGTAGACAGGTAAAGAACAACAGTGGACAGGCAAAATGCAACAGCGAGCAGGTAAGGACAGTAGACAAGTAAGGACAGTAGACAAGTAAGGACAGTGGACAGGGAAAGAATGATAGCAGACTGGTAACAGGTAAAAAACGACAAAGAATGTCAGTGGACAGGTAAAGAATGACAGTGGACAGGTAAAGAACAACTGTGGACAGGTAGGATTGCGAACAAGAGATGGCTTCTTTTCCAGATTTTGGCAAAACTCTAAACTGGCGTCTGTGGTGTAGCTGTTACGTTCTTCTTAGAGTACGACCATCTGTCTGCAGGAATACAGTATCTCACTCAACTCTGATTGGCCCTGAAAAGCAGCTTCTTCTTTCCTACCAAACATCTATCGTCCTTATCTGCCCTTTTTCTTTTTTATGTTTGTTACTCTCTTGTAACACCTCTTATCTTCTAGCGCTCATATGACCTTATGCAGTTGCGAGCGCCGTGAAACCTCTACTACTACCTGAAAAGCAGGAGTATAGTAGGAATGAAGTAGCCTGATCCAGATTGTGCCAGTGTGAATGTAAAACACTTATAATAAACAATTAACATAATTCTTGAAAGCATGCATATTGGGAAACGTTTTTTCTTTTTTTTCTTTCATGCTTTGAGAATTGGATTTCAATATTGATGGTGTCAAAAACCATTAATGTAACCAGTAGTGATATCGATAATGCAAATACTTTTTTATGCCAGATGATTCTTCGATTATTTATGTTGTTTTTCGTTTTGAAAGTCACTTGCAGAGATGTGTTAAAAAAGTAAAATTTGGTTTATTTCGTTGTCACAATTTTAAATTATTGAAGCTACTTTTCATTAGAAAAAGATAATCAATTTGTCTTCAATGTCTGGAATGTTAACATTATTTTTATGCAGTAGTGTCAATGTATATGTTTATTTGGTCTAAATTCCCCCAAAAACATGTTTAGGGGTGGGGAGAGAAAAGAATGTGTAAAACATTTGTATGTGTATCAAATTGAGGAATATGCAGACTTCAACATAAGTTAAGGACCACTTGCAAATACTCTGAGTGGTCTTCTTGGGTCGACCTGCACATGGGCGTTCTTGGATTGATCCAGTGGGTTGATGGCGCTGCCTCAAGCGGACAATGACAGAGTGTGACACTGCAAGCCTTCTGGCAACATCTCGAGCTCCAACTCCATCTTTCAGCCATGCCTTAGCCCTGGCACGGTCAAAGTCTCTCAGCTTTCGTCTTTGTGGCATGTTGATGTGATACTGGATTTTGCGCAAACGGCTGCTTATATTGCCACCAAAGTGAGCACAGTTCAAGACTGTACGCCCGCTTATGATGTTCACCAGAAATTTTGACTGAGGAATGTTCGTGGTGTCGCACACAAGTCGATAAAAAAACAGCAAATTTTTGCTAAAATTTCCCAAGGATTTCCGTGCTGCACGTGGTGGTTTTGTCCCATTAGGAAGCTTTGCAGTACACATTGGTAACCCATTAACATTTTCAGAGCAAAAAAATTGAAACATTCCTTGCTGTCTTTTTTCTGATTTAAAAAAAATCAGGGCTTTCTGTCAAGGTGGCCCTTAACTTATGTTGAAGTCTGTACTTCAATTCTGGAAACACTGTTCAAATTATTGTCCACTCTAAATGAACCCATTAAAAGGTGCTGCGATAGAGTGGTTCATGATTGTATTAATTTGGAAATGAGTTAAGGTAGCATATCAAATGTACTAATACTAAGCTCCTCTGAAATATGCTAGCTCTTTGAGCTGCTATATATACAAAGGAGTAAAATGTTCTAAATTCCCAAGAATCTTTGGATATTTTATGTATTTAAAGAGCTATGTTTCTTGATTTCAGCTGGGATTTGCACGGTCTCGTCGGGATGGTCAAGGTTCTTCCAAGGTCGGGGGTGCTTTAGGTTTTCACCGATCGTCTTCTCAGCCACACAACATGGAGGCCAGCACTCCGTCAGAGCTAAAAGGTCTGCCCGTCTCTGACGTGAACGACCCTCTGTGGATGTCTCTGCTCGGCTCTTTGTCAGTGGACAACATTTGGGTGAGTTTATCTTCAATTAACAGTGACAATTGGATGAATTCAGCTTAAATTAAAGTGACATTTGGATGAGTTTAGCTTCAATTAATGTGACATTTGGGTGAGTCTATCTTTGATTAAAAGTGACAATTAGGTGAATTCGGCTTCAGTCAAAGTGACATTTGGATGAGTTCAGCCTCAGCAGATACAGAATATTTGACTGAGTATTGCATCTGTTTACATTTATCATTTACATAGGTTTCTTTTCTAAGGATGGATAATGTCTGGGTCAATTTAGTTTCTGTTCACAGTTAACATTTGATTGAGCATAGCTTCAACAGAAGTTTACTAACAATTTGCAGATAAAATTAGAGTACGTTATGTTGCAGTTTATAGGGAATATTTTGGTCTTTTGCTTTGGGTTAGTTTTGCCTCAGTTGACTTATGATATATGTTTAGACACATTTAGCATAGTTTATGGATTGTGTCAATGTGGTTTTCTTTACTCAAATAAAACAATCAAACTTTTCCATAATTGACCAGCGTCTTAGGTGTAGTGGTTAGACTCTTTGCTGTCGCACTCAGGAGACCCAAGTGGGGAGAACTTTTATGGAGCATGTAAAGTTTTTCTGCTGGGATGTTGTATCCATCTTAGTCCAGGTCGGTCCTGAAAAGCAGGGTGGAAGCCTGCCTCCTAAATGATCTAGAATGCATTGATGGGAACGTAAAAAGACCTACTGTAAAAAAAAAAATTAAAGATTCTATGATGTTTCAGAGTGACAATCAAACCCTGGAGTCAGAGAATGTACTGGAGACGTTGCCCCATTTAGACCAGCTGGGTGCTGAGATGTACGACAGTTGTGTCATTCCTGTTGTCCTCAAGGTAATACAGCGGGTGGTTGGAGGGCACCTCTGTCTGGTGGAATCTACTTATTTTGCAGTCCCTCTTCTGTTTCTGTCTGTATGTCTTGCTTTTTCCCTAGAACTAAATGACCATTCTTTTGTCTGTGTGTTTCTCTTAATATTGATAAGAGCTGACAGTAAATAATTCAACAATTGAAATTATTGATATTCAAAGATTGAACTCTCACTCTATTTCAAAGTAGTGTGCTTGTTTTAAGCAAAAGAAATGACCAAAAAAAAAAAACCAACAAACAAAATGTATAGAAAAGAAAAGAGGAAAGCTCATATTGTTGATCCTGTATTACAGCTTTTTCCCGTCGGTCACATGTATTGAAATCATGGCTTCCAATTTTATGTATTTCCAGAAAATGTTTTCCATCCACCTGTTCTAGGAAGGGAAAGGGTGACTCCGGAGAGAGAGAAGATGGAACTAGATTATACTTGATTTCTCTGTGAGAAATTTAATCATGGCTTTACAAGAATGGTAAAAAAAATAAACACATGAGAGGGGATGAAGGGGAGAGACTGTGTCATCGGTTACATTTTTTAATCTGTTTGTTGAAGAATGTTCATTTTACTTTTCATGTGTATTTAGGGATGTTGTATTACATCTGTATAAACAAGATCTAAAACTTTTGGATTTTTTCGTAGGCTTTGGAGAGTGTGTGTCACAGCAGCCCATCCTTGCAGAAGAGTGTGGACCTGGGAGACTGGCTGACCGCTGGACAGATCAGCTGTCTGGAGGAACATTATGTGCAGGTGAGGCTGTGGGCTCATGTTGTGGTCATCTAAGGATGGCCACTGGCCACTTTGATTGTGCGGAGGAAAGATATGTACAGAAGTCTGTGTTCCATGAAGACAGCTTCAAATCTGCTGAATAACTTGCATAGCTTTTAATCTGTTTTTTGGAATTTTTGTAGTATTACAAAAGTGTTTATTTATTTTATTTCTTTTATTATTTTTTTTTTTTTAATTCGTAAAAAAATCTTCTTTTTTTTTTACCTATCTAAAATTAAAAATACTTTCTTATACGATTGAATCTGCTCTGACAACTGCTTGTCCAATATAATTGCTTGTGAAAACAACCTCTTCCCTCTTTTCTCTTAGCATTTTTACTGTAACGACACTTTTCAAGAGGACCATTTGTTTAAGATGACCACTTTTTTCCTCGACAAAGGGTGGCCATCTTGGACAATTTCTACTAGAGTTTCATACCTGCTAAATGACTTACGTTGCTTTTAAGCCTGTTTTGGAATTTTTTTAGATTAAAACAAAAGTATTTAGTTGTTGTTTTTCTTAATTAAGTTTCTTTTTTTCCTTTCTCTAGGCCCTTCACTACAGGTTGAAAGCCGTCATGGAAGGTGCGTGTGGCGTTGTGAGCGAGGTGGGGACCAATTTGTGCGCACAGCTCGTGGCACATCACATCAGGTCAGTCCGACTGTTGTCTGTTTGTCCGACTGTTGTCTGTTTGTCTGACTGTTGTCTGTTTGTCCGACAGTTGTCTGTGTGTCCGACTGTTGTCTGTTTGTCCGACTGTTGTCTGTTTGTCCGACTGTTGTCTGTTTGTCCGACAGTTGTCTGTGTGTCCGACTGTTGTCTGTTTGTCCGACAGGTCGCTACCCTAGAACTACAAAGTTCTATCTGCTCAGTGCCTAGTCTTGAGAAATTTGACTTTTAACATTTTTAGTTTCACAACATGTCAAGCTTTTTCGAATGCAATTCTTTGAATATCTCAACAACTCAAAATGATCTTACGATTTTGTTAGAGCAGATAGAACATTTGTTTCTTTACCTCACGGTCTTAGTTATTCAAAATGACTAAAAATGTCAGAAAGAAATTCGTAATTCTAAGGTAGCGAGTTGTCTGTTTGTTTGTCTGAGTGTTGTGTGTTTGTGTCACCTTTGCATCATCTTCTAAAACAAGAGTAGGAGATTGTACTGTTCATGCTTTGTCCTGAAACTGGTTTTAGGTGTTCTTGTTTTGAATCGTAATTCTCTACAGATTCTTCTGGAAAATGGAGGGGGAAGGCATTTGTTTACTGAGTAATGTTCCTTTTCCCATACTTTATTTCTAAAAATTTATGAAAAACAAAGTTCTCGACTCCAATGTATAAATGAATTATTACACTTGCTCTCAAGCAAGCACATACATACATGCACCTAAACTAAAACATACACTCACATATATCTAATCTTACGACCAGGTGGGTGGTTGGCGGGTGTTCTTGTGTGGTTTGCTTCTTCTTTCCTGTTAAACATCTATCATCCTTATCTCCTCTCCTTCTTTTTTGTGTTTGATATTCTCTTGTAGTACCTCTAATCTTCGGCACTTATATGACCTTATTGTGTTGCAAGTGCCATAAAACACTTACTAAAACTTAACTTACAACCAGATCTTTCTATCATCAGCGTCCCTTTGTTGAAGGGATGGTGTTATTAACAGACTAAGGATCAGTAGAACACATGTCGCACATTAACACCTCCTCCCAGGAGTGAACAATCCTTTGTGCATGGGATGAAATAAATGTTTTATTATTCAGTGCCATGTATTAGAATGTGTTAAATTCTGAGAAACACACATACTGAATATTTTAACATGTATTATCTATTTTACATTCAGGAAAAAGATAGCCCTTTTTAATAGTATCGATCTGAAAAAGGTTATTGCTTTTATATGGGAAGTAGGTTTAGAATTAAAATACATTATGTTTAGATTTACAAACATTCTCTTACTATATGTTACATTGTAAATATATTTGAAGATTAATTATTTATCTACTGAAAATTATATAAAGTGTGTGATTATTCATTTATTAAATCTCTGTTAACAAAAATTGTATACATCGCTGACTTAAGCAAGTTGTGTCAGTATTACTGAAACAACTTTAAATACACATACAAAAAGCACACTCACTCATGTGCACACTCATTTGGTTGTTGGTGGTCAATCTGATGGGGTCTACTCCCTCTACTTCATTTTGGTGTTACTGTTATTTGATATTTCCATCCCTCTCTTGTGAAATTTGGAGTATTTTGCTGACTCTCTCATAAAATACCACTTGACTGAAGCTTGTAGTCAGTTCCTCTATAAAATGGGAGTAGCTTTTTAAAACGTTTCTTTCATGGGCTTGGCAAATTTATATATTAAGACAGATAGAGAGAGGGGGGGGGAGGGAGAGAGAGCGACAGCAGATGCAAAGCTCACTCAAACATATATTACGAGAGAGAGAGAAGAGTGATGGAAGGAGAGAGAAAAAGAGAGAGTGAGAGACGGATAGAAAGAAAAGGGAGAATGGGATGTCATCTGGTCATGTAAGAATGAATAGTGCGCGCTCACAAGTGGGGTTTTTTTGTGTGTGGTTATGTGTATTTTTTGTGTCTGTGGTTATGTGTATGTGTGTGTTGGTTTTATGTTATGTGTCATACTTTGTGACATAGCAGATGGGGAAAACACATTGTCCTGTCTTCTTTCTATTTTAAAAAAATGCCCATGTGTGTCTGTTCCTTACCATATCTCCCATTGTTGTGCTGCCCCAGGTTGGTGAGTGACAAAGCTTTGCCTGCCTCCCACATCAGGAAGGAGCTGCAACAGCTGTGTAGTCATGTAAGTGTTGACCACATTCACAAATATTTTTTCACTCATACAATCGAAATTGTCCAAGACAGCCATAACTTGCAGAAGAGAAAAGTTGTTGTTTCAAACAGGTGGATGCCTTTGAAGGTATCTGTTTAAATGTAAAAAAAAAAAAAAAACTGGGGGGGGGGGGGGGTAGGAGGTGACTTTTAGATCAGGTTTGACAGTATTTCTCTATCTGCTTATTAAGTTATTTGTCTCTCAGACTAATATTTACCCACCTGTCCTTCAACTCGTCCATCCATCTATCCTTCTTTTAATAACAGTCAAAACTGCTGTAATGACCTCCTGTCCAAGACAATCACCTGCAGAAACAACCACTTCCCTCTTCCCCCCTTGCATTACTTCTATGACATTGTTGTGACACCGTCTAAGGTGTCCATCTGTCTAAGACAACCAATTTTGTCCCACCCAAAGGGTGGCTGTCTGAGACAATTTCGACAGTATTTCCCTATCTGTCCATCTGCCTGTCTGTCCTTCAATTTGATATCTGTACATTTATTCATCCACTCATTTTTCCATCCATTCAATTTTTATTTATTCATTTTTTCTATATCTTCACTATCATTATTTTTTTTCTCCTTTTTTGTTAATTTTTTTCCGACTGCTTTCCTTTAAGTTGTGAATTGCTAATATTTTCTTATGTAGTGCAGATCTTTACAGTTTAGAGTTTGGTTCCTTATTCTGTTTTCGTATCTGATTTTTCTTTCTCTAATTCAGACATTGTACCTATGGCAAGAGTATGGTTTACCAATCACCAACTTGGAGTCAATCTTCTCCCAACACCTTTCCACATTAGCGTCTTGGCTTGTGCAAGTTGTTCTAAGGTGAGAAATTATTGTGTGCTGCACTGTGAATCTGATTTTTGTTTTAATGTAGTGAATATTTTTAGTTTTTGAAATGATATATGAAGGATTTAAATTTCTAGTATTTTTTCAGAGGTGTCATCTTTAGTGGTTGCCTAACCTATCCAATTGACTAGTACAGTCGAACTTGCCCTGGCGGCCACCTCTATAAGATGGTCACTAGTACAAACGGCCACTTTCCATTTCCCCCTTGCTTTTTTTCTATATAATTTAATTGTGTAAAACGAGCACCTGTCCAACGCGGCCGCGGCCACCATATTTTAACACACAACCCCTATCACACTAAGCAATAACACCTGTCTTAGACGGCCACCTTAGTGACTCCATTACGTTTTGTCATTAATTGTGCATTGGCCCCTGGCGTTGTGGGCGAGCCATCATAATCTAATCACCTGTCGTTGTTGTTAGGTAGTCCCTCCAACCGATCATGTTGCGTAGGCCCCTCCCACTGTTGACCAATAGGTACTAATTTTCAGCTGCTGGTGAGGTAAGTGTGTGATCCCTCATAACCCATAAGCCCCACCCAGAACTCATACACAAATCGTGAGATGAGTGGTCACTGTTTACCCAGTCTGTAACAAAGTAACAATGGACGTCAACATGAACTTGCGACAGAAGCGTATCTCGTTCTCCGAGTGGTGGCAACCCATGTGTTTGTTGTAACATGGCACTCGGTCTTCCTCGTCTTATACATTTCGTATTATTGTCACCCTGGCGCAAAATCAGCAACAACAAAAAAATAACAAACAAAATACAAACCAACAACTAAAACAACAACAATGCGGCTACTTTAGTTTGGGACTTCAGATGGGAATTGTTTGTTTTCCTCATCTTGATCAGTCCCTCCTAAGACGGCCACCTGTCTTATACGGCCACTTTTCTCCTTGACAATGGGTGGCCGTCTTACACACATTATTATCGTCATAATTTATTATTATTATTATTATTATTATTATCATCATTGTTATTACTAATTATTATTAATATCATTATTATTATTGTCATGGGTGGTTGGTGGGTGCTCTTGTGTGGTTTGCTTCTTCTTTACTATCAAACATCTATCGTCTTTATCTCCCCTCCTTCTTTTTTTGTGTTTGTTACTCTCTTGTGACGCCTCTAATCTTCGGCACTTATATGACCTTATTGTGTTGCGAGTGCCGTAAAACTCTTACGAAAATGAAGTATTATTATTGTCATGATGTATTATCATTATTATCATTTCTGTTTGTTCTTTCCTCCAGGTTACCCTCAGGCTTGTCGTCCTTACCCCTCTCACAACAACAAGAACCGTTCTCAGCTCCCTTTGCCCTGAGAGTGCTGAAGTCTGCCATGGACTCGTCAAATTCCGCAGAGAATAAATTTGCTCCCGACTGGCGCCAGATGCTGGCGGGCCGGGTGCCGGATCACACGGTTTTACTCAAAGGCGTGCATCTTCAGAGCAAGGACAAGCTGACGCCTCAAGATAGGCTGTGGGGGGATATTCTCAAGTAAGTTCAGTGTTCATGTGTGTCTTGTCTGTCAATATTTCCATGCCAGTGGTTGGAGAGCGTCACGACTTGTAGATCTTACTCCTTTTCATTCCCTGTGTTGTTTTTGTTTACTCATTTTATATAACTTTTTCTCAGTACTAAAAGACTGTTTTCTGTTTACTCTGACTTCCAACAACTTTTTGGGACTTGGCATACTTGACTTTGTTGAGTGCAAGGGCCGCTCTATCAGAAGCAATGTGTCTTTGCTGTCATATGAACTGACCATAACCATTTGGTTTGGAAAAACCTTTTTTTATCAGCCACTAAACTCACAATTGCCTGAGGTATGTTACTTCTTTTAGTGATGCACGCTGAGTGTAAGGATACATGAACCTTGGTTACTGGACTCCCACCACCTCAGGTTGAAACTGCTTCATTGGGGGAAAGGATATAGATAGCACTCGCTTGGCTGTTTACTTGGGTTCCTGTGGATCTTCTTCTTTGTGTTCCCTTGCTAGATCTCGAAGGTAGTCAACTGCTGGTTCTTCAACCTGCAGTGCACTGATTTTTACATATGTTAGTGTTTTTCCTACTTCACAGGGCCTCTTGCCTTTAGGCAGCCACTTTCCAATTTTGAAGGTACTTTTTATGTTTTGATATTGACTAGAGTATTTTTACATTGCTGTATATGAATTTCATTCATTTTCAAATTTTTTTGGATGAAGCAGTCTGTAAAAAAAACCTATTAAAGTGGGATTTGTAAAAAATGCAAAATGTCCTGTTATTATGCTAAGTCGGTTCAAGGGATTGGACCCATTATTCACGTGAGTACTATGTGAGTTACGAACCCATGTGCAAAAGACTAATTTCTAGTCTCATAACCGGTTGTCATCTCTGCTTCAAAAAGTAAAATTCAAATGCTGGTGTTACTCCATTGTGTCTGCAGGAACATGAAGAAAGACTCGGGTGTGATAACTCTGACCCACAGTCAGCTTGACTACTTGGATGAACAAGAGCAGAGGTCAAAAGGTTTGTTTTTAGTTTAGTTTTTCGTTTAAGTCTGAGTTTTACATTGCTTACAACACAAATAGGTCATATATATAAGTTAGAAGTGTTACTGGAGAGTAACATATGAAAAAAAGAAAGAGATAAAAATGACAGATTTTTTATGAGAGAGAAGGAGCATACCACTCCAGAGCACTCGCCAACCACTCATGCTTTGCTTTAAGTTTTTTTTTTGTGTGTGTGGTTTTTTTTATTTTAAAGTTAGAATTCTTCAACATTTTCGTCAGAAATGCTTTCACAAAGGTAGACAATGGCAAGTAAAAACATCAGGTGTTGCATAGCAAAGGGACAGGGTGTTCCAGTGCTACTCGGAAAGATGCTTCTTCGTCATAATTTTCTTCCAGGGATTACTATTACATTTACAAAACGGACTTCAATATTGATTTGAAAATTGAGATAACATTCTGAAAAATATAAAGTACAGAAGTTCTATTGTAAACTTTAAAAGCCTGCCTTCTCAGTAATAGTTCATCTAGCTCCATGCATATGATTATAAGACAGCTAAAAGTATTTGCTTACTGTGTCTTATAGTAAAGGGGCAGCATTATAGATAAATTAAATTGTTGGTCTCTACCTAGAGTTTCTCATTACATGGGATGGTATTTTCAGGATAGTATCAGTTCCAATGTTTAAAGCGTTTACTTCAGATATAGTTTACCCTTTGGCAGACTGATATGCTTGATATGAATGAGGGCTTCAAGCTCTAAGGTGCAACAAGTGCTGTAGTTTTCTGTTGATCAAAATGTAGAGTCTAATTGTGAAAATGAAAGGAAATGATAAACTGAATATCTGTCAAATTATCAGTTCTTTGTGTAAGGTTCCTTTTTGAAATTTGTTCGTTCAGGAGTTGCAGATGTAGAGAGATACCGAGGCATTATGCAGCTATTTTTTTAATCTTTCATGAACTCTTGAGTAGTTACCTTTTGCTTTCCTAGAAACATTTTCAACTTCACCTTTGCCACATCAAATGGTTATATTTCTTCTTTCAGACCCACGACCCTCCTCAAAATCCATTGTCTTTTCATGTGGTCACTCCTTTTCGGAGAGTGTGTTCAAGTCCGAAGCAATGCCCAGCTTGACGTCAGAGCTGACCTCGGGTGGCCTGCGACTCCCCAACTCCTCCTCTCTCCTCCAGCACCTCCTGCAGCGACCTGGCCTCAAGCCCGCGGCCTGCCCGAAGTGTATCCTGCACGGACTCAGGATGAGCTGACGGCTGTGATGTTTCTCTTTTTGTTTATCTTGGGATGCAGTCCTCTCCTCAGTGACGCAGCAAACTATTTTTGTTGTTGTTACCTAATACATGTTTGTCAGACTCTAGATCAGGAGAATATCTTACGTAATGTCACAGGCAAGGTGTTCAGATGTACTCTGCTCAATTTGTTTTTCTTAATTTTATTGTAGTTTCTTAATCAGTGGTATCAATTGCATGTTCTCAAGAATACTATTTCAAAATTCAAATTCTACTTTTTGGAAACTGCAAGAAAAACTGCATGAAGTAGATATAATTTAACAAATGAATAAAACAGCTTTTTTTTTCTCTCTCTCCGGAAAAGTTTTCTTCTCTATGCTTACAACTGAACATCTGGCCCACAATATTATGTTTTATAATTATTGCATCATCTGTGCTGCTTCATGCAATTGGCGTAACTGCAAGAATTTGAGTTTTATCTATTACATCGATTGTTTGTGACAGTGAAAACTGATTAATTTTCTAAATACTTTCCAAGTGTTAACACACTTTAAAAAACGTTACAAGGCAAATATCCCCGGGTTCTTACTTAGAATATATTTTCTCTTAACCGATATAATATTGTTGGGTTGACTCGAACTTACCCAAATAAAAAACAGTCTAGCACACACATTGTGAAATGGATGGAATGTGGAAATCTTTTCACTTTGTATGAATGAATTTCTACATGCACATGTTTTACACACAAAGAATATATAAACGTGTGGCGTGCTGACAAAATGAGTTACTTCTTGTAATCCAAGAATGGAGATATCAGCTGAAAATCGACACTGGAGTCAGATTTATAGATTTTAATTGATGCTATTTTGTTCCAGTCTACTGTGTCTTTTATTATGACGTACTTACAAGTTGTACAAACTCCACCTACAAAGATGATGTATCAATTTCCATATATGGCTAAAATCCGAGAACTAACTCATTTTGTCAGCATGCCTCAAATATAATTTGGGACCTGAAAACCTGTTCGCTCTGTGCGTGTTTCACTATGTGGGTGCTAGACTGTACTGAAAAAAAGTCATGTCTCTGTTTTGTGCGTGTGTGCCTCTTGCCCAGAGTATATTTTTCTACGGACTCGAAATGAGCTTACAATTTATTTTACAACATCGCAGTCATATTTGTACGATCTGGATTCTGAGAATATTTGTGCTGTATACATTATTATATTATATGTGAGGCATCATGGGGAAACCAGGTGCTCGTCAAAATAATGAAATGGAAGAAACTGACCATTAATTGCTTATTGGGCAATTTTTATTGAATTTTTGTTTTGGGCTCAATACCTTTTATGCCCTTTTAAAAACCCATTCCTGTGCGAATTTTAATGTATAATGTTGGTCAAAGGCACAAAAAATGTTAATTTGCAGTTTCCAAGATGCTACAGATTCGGAAGTCACCAAAATTTGACGGTGATTTTTTCGGTAATTTAACTCTGACACTAGGGCACCCCACCCACGGTCCCACCTCTTTCGATTGCAAATATCTCCACTTCTGTTCAAGATATATGAATATATTTTTCATTGAAAGCAAGGCAAATGAACAGGCCTTAAGATGATATCAATAACTTCATATGCTAAAGAAACTGATGAGCGCCTGATTTCACCACGCTGCAACACATATGTGCATCGTCAGTGTTGCTGCATACAGTATGTAAAATTTGGATTTTGTTGATTATGTGCAATGCTTACAACACTGAAGACTTACAATGTACAATGATATTTATGATATAATGTCTTAGATCCTTTACAAATGTTAATGAAGTTGTACACTTGACTTTTGACAAATATTGTCAGAGCTGGTTTTTTGCTCAGAACATGCTTTTTTGGTTATTTTTTCTGTTGCTTTATTTAATTCCTCATCTTTCATAGGGTCAGAATTTACAGTGCTATGTTATTTGTGTGTGGGGGGTCTTTCCTGTTAAACATCTATCATCCTTATCTCCTCTCCTTCTTTTTTGTGTTTGTTACTCTCTTGTGACGCCTCTAATCTTCGGCACTTATATGACCTTATTGTGTTGCGAGTGCCGTAAAACTCTTACTAAAACTTAACTTACAACCAGATCTTTCTATCATCAGCGTCCCTTTGTTGAAGGGATGGTGTTATTAACAGACTAAGGATCAGTAGAACACATGTCGCACATTAACACCTCCTCCCAGGAGTGAACAATCCTTTGTGCATGGGATGAAATAAATCATTTATTATTCAGTGCCATGTATTAGAATGTGTTAAATTCTGAGAAACACACATACTGAATATATAAACATGTATTATCTATTTTACATTCAGGAAAAAGATAGCCCTTTTTAATAGTATCGATCTGAAAAAGGTTATTGCTTTTATATGGGAAGTAGGTTTAGAATTAAAATACATTATGTTTAGATTTACAAACATTCTCTTACTATATGTTACATTGTAAATATATTTGAAGATTAATTATTTATCTACTGAAAATTATATAAAGTGTGTGATTATTCATTTATTAAATCTCTGTTAACAAAAATTGTATACATCGCTGACTTAAGCAAGTTGTGTCAGTATTACTGAAACAACTTTAAATACACATACAAAAAGCACACTCACTCATGTGCACACTCATTTGGTTGTTGGTGGTCAATCTGATGGGGTCTACTCCCTCTACTTCATTTTGGTGTTACTGTTATTTGATATTTCCATCCCTCTCTTGTGAAATTTGGAGTATTTTGCTGACTCTCTCATAAAATACCACTTGACTGAAGCTTGTAGTCAGTTCCTCTATAAAATGGGAGTAGCTTTTTAAAACGTTTCTTTCATGGGCTTGGCAAATTTATATATTAAGACAGATAGAGAGAGGGGGGGGGAGGGAGAGAGAGCGACAGCAGATGCAAAGCTCACTCAAACATATATTACGAGAGAGAGAGAAGAGTGATGGAAGGAGAGAGAAAAAGAGAGAGTGAGAGACGGATAGAAAGAAAAGGGAGAATGGGATGTCATCTGGTCATGTAAGAATGAATAGTGCGCGCTCACAAGTGGGGTTTTTTTGTGTGTGGTTATGTGTATTTTTTGTGTCTGTGGTTATGTGTATGTGTGTGTTGGTTTTATGTTATGTGTCATACTTTGTGACATAGCAGATGGGGAAAACACATTGTCCTGTCTTCTTTCTATTTTAAAAAAATGCCCATGTGTGTCTGTTCCTTACCATATCTCCCATTGTTGTGCTGCCCCAGGTTGGTGAGTGACAAAGCTTTGCCTGCCTCCCACATCAGGAAGGAGCTGCAACAGCTGTGTAGTCATGTAAGTGTTGACCACATTCACAAATATTTTTTCACTCATACAATCGAAATTGTCCAAGACGGCCACCCATTGTTGAGGAGAAAAGTGGTTGTCTTAGACAGGTGGATGCCTTTGAAGGTATCTGTTTTCAAAACAAAACAAAAAAAAAAAACTGGGGGGGGGGGTAGGAGGTGACTTTTAGATCAGGTTTGACAGTATTTCTCTATCTGCTTATTAAGTTATTTGTCTCTCAGACTAATATTTACCCACCTGTCCTTCAACTCGTCCATCCATCTATCCTTCTTTTAATAACAGTCAAAACTGCTGTAATGACCTCCTGTCCAAGACAATCACCTGCAGAAACAACCACTTCCCTCTTCCCCCCTTGCATTACTTCTATGACATTGTTGTGACACCGTCTAAGGTGTCCATCTGTCTAAGACAACCAATTTTGTCCCACCCAAAGGGTGGCTGTCTGAGACAATTTCGACAGTATTTCCCTATCTGTCCATCTGCCTGTCTGTCCTTCAATTTGATATCTGTACATTTATTCATCCACTCATTTTTCCATCCATTCAATTTTTATTTATTCATTTTTTCTATATCTTCACTATCATTATTTTTTTTCTCCTTTTTTGTTAATTTTTTTCCGACTGCTTTCCTTTAAGTTGTGAATTGCTAATATTTTCTTATGTAGTGCAGATCTTTACAGTTTAGAGTTTGGTTCCTTATTCTGTTTTCGTATCTGATTTTTCTTTCTCTAATTCAGACATTGTACCTATGGCAAGAGTATGGTTTACCAATCACCAACTTGGAGTCAATCTTCTCCCAACACCTTTCCACATTAGCGTCTTGGCTTGTGCAAGTTGTTCTAAGGTGAGAAATTATTGTGTGCTGCACTGTGAATCTGATTTTTGTTTTAATGTAGTGAATATTTTTAGTTTTTGAAATGATATATGAAGGATTTAAATTTCTAGTATTTTTTCAGAGGTGTCATCTTTAGTGGTTGCCTAACCTATCCAATTGACTAGTACAGTCGAACTTGCCCTGGCGGCCACCTCTATAAGATGGTCACTAGTACAAACGGCCACTTTCCATTTCCCCCTTGCTTTTTTTCTATATAATTTAATTGTGTAAAACGAGCACCTGTCCAACGCGGCCGCG